ACAAAGTCATGACTTGCCAGCCAATGGTGTCTAAACAAAGAGTGCTTGTGGCTGAGATGGGAGCAGATTGCGGGGAGTGGAGAAGCACGGCTGCAGAGACAGAACCTCCCCAGCCTCATTATCCCTTTTATGCGGCTGAATTTGTCACTTGTCCAATCGTGGGCTGTCCCGGCAGCTCTTCTCACAGGCGTGGACCTCTCCCATATGTTTTCACCAAATTTGGCTTTTCAGCCAGTCTCCAAGCAGCGTGGACAAAGAGTGTTTAACCAGGCAGTCGGCAAACTGTGACCCGCGCAAAACCATATCATCAATCGTGCAGCCGTCATTAGCATTGCAGAGCAGGCACGGCGCAGTCAAAGAATCGTTGTTAAAAGAGACAAAGGGAACGTTACAGTTCTATTAACAAAGCCACCAATCAAATATGTAAATTACTGAACCCCACCCTACCCCATCATAACAGGAAATTAGTGGAGGCTGGAAAATCATACGTTTAAAAGAACACGCAGAACGTGCAAACATCACTCAGCCTTTAGTCATTATGCACAAAACCATCAGTAGTTTCTGAAGAAGTGTATTGTGGTTATCTTATCTTAGGTCACCGTCAAAATAAATGTGAGCAAATGTGACAAAGCCACTGCAAGCGAAGCATAAACAGCACCAGGGCTCGCCTGCACGCTCAGAGAGATGTGTGTGGGGAGGAGAGTGATGGAGAAGTATTTAAAAGAAAATTTTCACACGTGGGGCGGAAGGGGGGGGGGCGCATTTTCCCATAAACTCTGTTATGAAATTGTCTCATGACAGTCAAACCGAAATGTATAATTCTCAGAGCTTGATTTTAGCTTAAAAATATTGTTGATTTTTATGGCATGAAGCCAAATTAAGTGCAACATCGACATGTGCAGTCACTGGTGACCGAGCCGAAACCATCAACTCACTGCACTTGAGAACCCACTAAATGAATCGTGGGCAGCTGCCCGGATTCCAACCCAGGATCTCAGTGGTGTCAGCCTCGTGTTCCGACCTTTGAGTCATCCAGCCACCCCCACTGCTCGTATTCTCAATGATCAATTGAGAAGCACGTAATCGTCCTTGAATAAACTTATTGCAACCGACGAAACATGGAAAATAATGAACAATTTGAAAATGGCCAGGCCTGAGTTACATATACATGTAATTGACCCATTTAGAACAGGTGTCCTCTGTTTGGCGGTGAGTGATGTCCCTGCGGGCGTGTAAAGTGCAGTCAGCTGATGGAGCCCACTGGATTTCCAGGTTCACTGCCCGTAGAAGCTCAACGCCGTTTGAACAATACGTCGTATTTTGTTGTCAATTTCAGTCATGACAACTCTTCAGCCATCGGTGATTTTTATTTGAAAGAATGTGATCAATACATTGGCACGTATAAATAATATATTTGTAAACGCGAAACATCTTTTAGGGTCGTGAAGGGTGAATGACAATAATTTTGGGATAACATTTCTACGTGGCATAACCTAAAAAAAACAAATATGGATGTTTATTTTGTCTATGGAAACCTACGTTTTAAGTTAACATCGAGTACATTACCTACTACATCATCAGCGATATACCCCCACCTGTTTAAAATGTAATTGCAACCATGGCTGTCCGTGGATAAGATTAAATGCCCCTTTTCCACTGACTGTTTCGCCATGCCAAGCCGTGACCAAAGTGTGGAATGCTGGCCTCCCAAGACGTCTGAATCTCTCATAGGGCCAAGCAGGGCCAGAGCCGGGGCTAACTGGGGGCCACGGAGGTTACCGAGTGCAGTAACGGCTGGAGAGGAGGGCAGGTGACCACTGCTGTTGACACCTGCTGCTGCTGCTGTGGTTATTGACTGCTGTTGCAACTGTTGGTTGTGTTGGGTCACTTGTTGCAGCTGCTCCCGAAGTTGGACTTGAATTCACCGCGGCTAGGGTGAGTGCTAGAGACCAGTCGCTCTGCATGGCGTTAGGGTTAAGGAGTTGGGGCTCTGCATAATGCTCGAGTAGGTGATTCGCTGTGGCCAGCGCGTGCACTTTGATGTAAATGGAAGCTCCACAGACCTGTGGCACCTCCTCTTCTTGCTGGCTGCATATGTGAACGTGGGTGAATCCAGGAGCTGGAGGCTAAACTTTACTGCAAATGGTCTGGAACATTGTATCGCGTTGGCAGTTATTTGTTGGCGTAAGTCATTGCCTTATTATTGTTGATGTTGTACATTTAAAGTTACATTTATTAACGAGTGGCGTGTGTTGAGGCATCTGTGAGCTCCAGGCGTGGCCCAACACTGGAATATTCAATGGTGTGCTTGGATCTTGGCATCAACCACCTCCAAAAAACAACCAGACGGACTGTGAACAGAAGGACAGGGATCGTATGCTCTGGCCATCGAACAAAGGCGGTGACTGCATCGTTCGCTTTAGAATCCACTTCTGTGGCCGTCTGGAACGCTCTTTCTTCCAATGTTAGGAAGCTGCTGGGGCTATGCACGTTCACATCTGGATTGCAAACTCGTCTCTTTAAAACTACTTTTTGTGTTTCGTTGGTTGCCCTTCCCCTGCAACCTCTGATTGGCGCGGTTGGCTGTGTACGGTGTGAAAGGAGTTCAACATATATAATCTACGTAATTATGTTGAGTCATCATAAGCAGGGAGGTTTAGCTTGACACTGAGTTTGGATAGGTTTAGGCTCATCCACCATGATAAAAATAAGCCTCAGTGATGTAGTGCAGCCGGTGAGCCACAGTGATAAGGAGGGTTGCCACCTGTACTGGTTTCCCAGGATCATCCTATTTTTAAAGTAGCTATCCTTGGAAATCTACAAGCCTTCCCGCGACATTGAAAGTACCGGGTCTTGTCAGTTGTTTGATAATACACCCCTCAACGCAATGCAATTACACGAAGCTGCCCCCATTTCTGGCATGGTGAGATGTTCTTATTCCCGTGACAGTCTGTTTTTTTTTGTATCGCATTGGTGGCAACCCGAAGTGTGATACGCCAGTTGGTATGACTGCCGATTGCAGTGTGTGCCAGACTTATACTGTACGTTGCCCAAACAGCCTACACATATGGGCCGCTGTTGGGAATTGGGTTGGCAGGATTACGTAAAAATATTGGAAGAAGATCGACATTCGCCAACATGAGCATTAGGTCCTCCATGGAAACATTCCGCAAACATTCCATATAGTTGCAACAGAGAGGATGCTGCCGGCAGCGTTGTGGTGCTATCATTGCTGTGGTGCCATCATTGATGTGGTGCCATTGTTGTTGTGGTGCAATCGTTGTTGTGGTGCTATCATTTATGTGGCGCAATCATTGTTGTGGTTTCATCATTTCTGTCGTGCCATCGTTGTTGTGATGCCATCGTTGTCGTGGTGTTATGGTTGTTGGGGTGTCATCATTGTTGTGGTGCATTCGTTGCAAAAAAACAGCACAATACCACTGCTAGGTTCATCTCCATATATAACACATTCCTGCGGAGGGAGTTGGTAGGAACGTTGGGTTGCTCGGTCAATGGCCAGGGTCAACGGCGGCGTGGTGTATTCCGCAAATATGGCCGACTGTGAGGGCGGGCACAAGCCGGCGTGAGTAGGTTAAACGTTAAACGTTGAGTTTTATAAGGGCACCACGGGGTGACCAGCCCCTCCCCACCCAACCCCTCCCCGCCCTCCCCTCCCCACCCAGCCCCTCCCCGCCCTCCCCTCCCCACCCAGCCCCTCCCCACCCAGCCCCTCCCCACCCTCCCCTCTCCACCCAGCCCTACCCCTCCCATTTTTGGATGCACGACGGACGGACGGACACAATAATCCCCTGTGGGCTGGTGTAACCAGGAGGTTCCTACCAGTATGAAAGGCAAAGTTGTGATTATGTGTGTCGAAAATGTTTAGCGTACTTTCCGACATGCAACAAACTTGAAATTTGCCATGTGGGTACTTTCCAGACTGTACACCATGCAAAAATTATTAAAATACACTTTTTTGGGTGGGTGGGGGGGAGCTCAATAATGCAGAGATTTTTTGCACGGCAAGTGATCTGTGACGTCAAATATGTCAAGTGACCCGCGCATGTGGAAGCGTAACGCGTTGTAGTGTAGTGGGTAGTGTAGTAGTGTAGTGGTTGTAGTGTAGTGGTTGTAGTGTAGTGGTTGTAGTGTAGTGGTTGTAGTGTAGTGGTTGTAGTGTAGTGGTTGTAGTGTAGTGGTTGTAGTGTAGTGGTTGTAGTGTAGTGGTTGTAGTGTAGTGGTTGTAGTGTAGTGGTTAGCGCGCTGCGCTACGAACCCGGCGACCCGAGTTCGATTCCCGCTCACGGCCACCACCGGTGACGATTATTTTAACCGCTCCTGGGCCTCCCGTAGGTCGACTCAGCCTCAAACTAGTAAGTAGTGTGGTGTGTGAACATCGCCACTGGGGAGACAAAGGTGGCCGGGCCTGGTGAATCCAAGTCTCGGGCGAAGCCTGGTAGTAAAGCTAGTCTTGGTCTAAATGATTCTACCAATTCACTCATACACTGTTGCCAATGATTGGCAATACATACCAGTAGTTTTGACAATAAGTACTGGGTCTTAGGCATGAAATGATTCATGCATGAAAGTAAATTATTACTCTTCGGATATATGCATCCAATTGTGTCGATGATATGCAAATGTGACATTGAGGGTGATTTAGTATTTCTCAAACTCCAATTCTCACGACTGCACGCCCCCTCCCACCGCACAACTGGAGTTTACCACGGCTAAAATAATTTGCAAATTGAAATAATGCGTTAATGAAGCAGCCACGCGTGGCGCCTGGTGGCTCGTGATCACAGAAGGCTGTGGGATGTTGCGTGAGCCGGCGTTTGAGAAGCGCTGTGTGAACAGCATCAACGACGACGAGGAAATACAAAAGAGACCGTAAAAACGAGAAAAAGAGAATTTCCAGTTTTTTCACCATTGGAACCTCATTTGCCAGTAGAAAATATGATAATTGGTTTTTTACCCTTTTAACTGGAAACAAAACTGACACCTTTTTTACAAGGAGTCATGTTTGCATTGACCACAATACCTGCAGTCGGAATGCAAACAAAAAACATAACTCTGATAATGTATGCACTGTCCTTGAAATTGATTGGTCCACACCCGAGACAGCTTTCTTTAGAGCCTAGTCTCACATGGTGTTGGACCAGATGACGCCAGAAGGCGCACGTTTTTTGATTGAATCGTGACCCCCCCCCCCCACACACACATTGTGACTATCAAATCGTGAGGAGGGTGCATGATGACATGCACGCTTTCTCGATGTGGCTCACTCACGAAGTGAGTTGTCACACATTGCAACTTCACTGGCAGCGGCCGCACGAGTCAGCTGCCCACCATTTGTCAAAAAACTTTCACAAACACCGACACGGGTTTCATGGAAAAACGGGCTATTTATTTTAAATAAAAATTCTAAAACCTCCATCTATTAAAAAATAATAAATATATTTTACAAAAGAAATTAATAAATAAACATTATTTACACACTTCTTTTCATACAAACGTATAGAGCGTCAGTGCTTTGCACACATAAATTAACATTACACCTTAAAATAATACTTATTGCTTCAACGTTAACGGAAAGAGTAGAAAATACCAGTTTGTTTTCAATAACGGACTTCAGGAAATTCGACGAGACAAACGAGAGGGTGGAAGGCTGCTGCTGGCTTTGCATATCAGACAGGAAGTGATGAGTGGTGCAGTGTTGTTCCAGTTTCATCACTGAAAAGTGTCGTTTCAGATTTGTTTTAAGTTTCTCAGGTTTTCCCACTTTCGTTAAAGTCACAGTCTTCCCATGTCATGACGTTTTTAACCGTGATCCCAGCAAGCTCAGTTTAATTCCCGGCTACGGCGAGCATCAGCGACAAGTGACGTCTGAACCAATCATGGGGTCCCCTTCAACCAGCACTGAGCAGTGTGGTGAAGTATGGTCAAATAACCCCCCTATGACGGACATGCCATTGGGAGGCCTTAATCTAGAAGTTGATTAACAGAGGACTGTACATTACTATTTTACGATTCAACATAATTGTCATCGACTCCGTTTAAACACGTCTCTATCCATTTGAAATTTAAATCTTCAAACACATAAACCGCAGCCGTTCGCGTACAAACGGGTGCCCAAAGAGCGTTGTTTGTGGGTGCCAGGACCTGGCTCATGGACACTCGACCTGACCCTGAAACTGAGATATCGTCATTGCTTGAGCGCTGGTGCCGAAACATTCACCTAGGGCGGTGGTAGCACACCCCTCTCCCTCGCTAGTCCACCCTCACTAGTCCACCTTCACTAGTCCACTCTAGCTAGTCCACCCTCACGAGACCACCTTCACTAGGTCACTGCTGTGTTCGCAGTCAACACTCCGCCACATGGGGCGGGAGGGGGGGAGCAATGGCTGCGGGTAATGTGTTTCCTTGTGCCACGAGCGGAGAGGGGCCCGATTTATCCATCGTGTTTCAAAAGGGACTCCCTATGTGATCTGAGGTAGGGAACGACTGTTGCTCTCCGATGCGCCATTTCGCGTTGTGCCACGTGTGTTGCTCAGCAAGACGTTCGACGTTTTCCTCCGCGTGCTGTGGAAGCTTCTTCGGGAACTGAATGTAGCGGCTCACTTTCCCACTATCCCCCCCCCCCCTTCCTCTCCAATCTAGGAAGTTGGCGGCCGTCGGCTGGTGCTGGTGAGCTGCTCCTTTCAGATCCTCGCGAAGCTGCTGGCACGTTGGAGCAAACGCCGTGCCGAACAACGGCACAACCGTGAAAACCTACGCAGTAGTCGTAGCACTGTGGCTCGACTCAGGTGGGTAGAATCATGGAGATGTTTTGGTTTGTTTGGGAGAAGAAAAAACTATTCCTTTTCAAAATTGTAGTTCCTTTGACTAAACTTTTTGTTGTTTTCCCGTTTAAGTTCCAGTTTACATTAACGGATTCGTTTAGGTCTCCATGAACGGAGGAACACTATTCAGTTTGATGGGAACAACACTGAATTATGATGATCTGGAATTCGACCAGCGGGAAGAACAATTCCACCAAATTAGTGCAAAGACACCAGACGTGCTGGTCACAGCAGTCATTAGATATACAAAAAAAGTATACATGTATACGTGTAACAAAAGTTGCCCCGCTCGCTTTCCATTTACAACTTCTCCCTTTCACATTCTGTGGTATTGTATAAGCTCCCCAGCCGGTTTGTACGTTTCAGTCGCGGTAACATTCCCAGCGGGCTGTGAGAACGACGCGCGACTGTGGTGGGAGAGTTTCGAGGGCAGCAGAGTTCAAACGTCCACTCCACAAACAGCATGGAGCGTGGCGAAACACCTTCATGGCCCATGGCACACTCTCAGCAAAGCACATTCTTGGTACGTGACCGCCCAAAGCATTGGGTACTTGAGGTTCCACGGCAATCTCGTCGGTCTCATACCTGCAACACAGGACAGAAGAAGCGTCTCATGGTTACAAAGCCGAGCGTTTCTGGTCTAGTGCAACGTGGACATGTTGTAGGTAGTCGTGTGTGCACAGGATGCACACTTACCTCTGTGGCTACTATTTGCTCGGCCTGCTCGGGGCAGCTGATGTACACGGACGTGTAGCTGGCCTCCGATGGAGAGGAGGCCTCGCCGCTACTCTGGTGCTTCTCGTTGGCCTCCTGGCACTTGTCTGCACTCGTGTGGTCTTCACCAGCTTCGGCAGCCTTCTCCAGGATCATGTTGTAATCCATGTCCTGATATTTCAGTCGGTATCCTGACTTGAGCAAGCAACCCTCAGGCTCTACGTCCATTTGCTTGTTCGTATTTTTTAGTTCCACGCCGGTTAAGAGGTTCACGGCGAGTTCCTTTTCCCTCTCGCAGTCGTTGCGATTGTTCATGCCATTATTGCCGTCGGCCGTTTCTATCTGGCCGCTCTGATTTTGCTTGAGGCGCCGACATACCAGGAGCAGAATGGTACCAGCAAGCAGCAGCAGCACCATGCCGAGCCCTGTGCCTACAGCCAGCCAGGGGAATGCTTCCTCGGAGCCTTCGTGGCGCTTGAAGTTGCTCGGCACGTTGGAGATCGCGGTGTTTGTGCGGGTTAGCACCAGCTCGCTGCAGTCGATGCCCCCAAAGCCGACCCTGCACTCACAAGCGTAGCCACCGTCACCGCTCTGAAGGACGCAGACTCCACCGTTGAAGCACGGCCCACTTTGGCAATAGGAGACAGGGATGCCGCAGTCCTTGCCCTCATAGCCCGTCGGGCACGAACATGTGAACCCATTCACAAGGTCGCGGCACGTGCCACCGTGGAGGCAGGGCTGTCTTCCGCAGTCGTCCACGTTCATCTCGCACCGGTTCCCGGTGAAGCCGGCCTTGCATCGGCACTTGAAGGTCGCTCCCAGGTCCAAGCATTGCGCGCCTGTGTGAACGCGTCACAGTCCACCAATAAGCGCAAGCAAGCCATCCTATTGCGACTAAAAATTTTAACCCCCCCTCCCATCGCAGTTAACTAGGTGGGTAGGTCGCACGTGGTGGTGTAAAGTGTGTATAATTCCCTCTCTTCCAAGACGTCTGGCCAGCATGGCAGAGTCGGCAAAGAGACCCGGTTCTCCAGAGCTCCCTATAGTGGAGGCCCTTTCGCCGGTAGTGGCGTGAGCCAGCGAATGGCAGGGCTTCCACCTTTAATCTACCTTAAATCTTAAGAAAGCCACCCACGTGACCTGTAAGCCACAGTTAACTACTGTGAAAGTTACTCATGAGAACAACTTCTCAGCTGCTGAGAACCTCTGTCAACTGGAACAAAAATCTGATATACACCGAGATAAATGACCAGAGTGATGGCTTAATCATACTTCAGTTAACTGCTTAAAGTTCAGAATCAGAATATTTATTTATAGTGGAGGAATTTGATGAGTTATAAAGCTCTTTTTTTACAAATGCACAGCAGTCTTCACAGATGACCGTTAGATTTTTAGACGTGGGAACCACTGATGTTTCGTAAGGAAATGTCCCGGGCGAGTGGCCCGCACGTGCTCGCTGCTCTCAGCTCTAGCTGCTTAGTCTGGCCCATGTCCTGCGTCATCCCGCTCAGTCCGGCCTGACCCCTGCTTACTTCCTGCTCAGTCCGGCCTTTCCCCTGCAGCCTCTTTCCCCATTCTCCCCCACTTCCTCTTGCTGGAAATCTTGTTTATTTTGTTTATTAGGCTATGATTGTCTGAACAAAGGGTTTCACCAATTAGCACAGCCCAGAGCAGAGATTGTAAACGTGAAAAATATTTCGGCCACACGCCTTGTTTTGATAACCCCTAATAGCACTCACATTGAACAGAGGATGTCCAACTTTCGCGAAAGCATGGAATTGTCGGAAGGTTACATTTTTAGCCTTTTGAAGCTGTTGGTTACATTCAGTGCTTATTTTCAACCATAACAGTCCGGAACACTGTTTCCCTAGAATGCATTTTAGCACGCCATATCCATCTCGCCTTATTTTGTCCTCATTACACTGCACATAATATGTTTTTATAAACCCGTTCAGGATTATACAATCTAATCATGGCCTTGAATTGTGACAATCCATGAGATCGCAAGGGAAGCCAATCATTACTGGCCTAGTTTTTGCATGAAACTGTGGGTTTTCCCATAATTCTGTGTAGCCCCTTGACTCAACCATAACGTGATCTGAAATTAGAGTTGCTGCATATTGCAGAACTTTTTGTGACTCTGGGTTACTCAAATGCAAGGGGCAAGCAAAGTTCAAAACTTATCACGCCGCTTTTCCCCCGAGCATATTGCAATTTTGTTTTCGGCATCAAATGACGAAGAGCTACACATGTTTAATATGCCCTGAAAAGGGTGTTTGTGTAATGACAAGCAAACTTAAATGTTTTAAGTTTCAGATCTGGAATTAAATACATTAAATGGAACGCCGCTTTTTACGTGATGTTTTTATTTTATTGCGTAGGCATTGGTCAACATGCTGATACTATCAACTTTCTGCACTTGAGAGCCCTGTTTAATTTCAGGGGAATGAAAATTGGATTGAAACCCGGGATCCCAGGGGTGTCAAGTCTGCTGCGACTGCTAAGCCACACAGCCAACTCCAAATCGCAATTCATGAGGACAAAAACATTTGTTGGGGTACTGCATTGCCAGTACTTCACGGGCACAAACAAACACAAGCTTTAACACATTCGTAAATGACGCTGCCCGAGAAGGAAACACATCACGGGATGATTTGGGCAATGGCCGTTTCTTCGTAGCAAGGAGATGAGCCGTTGTCCGACATCCAAATGTGATGAGTTGTTGTTCTCTATTATTAAAGACTACGATTATCACCAACATGTAATGCGTAAAGGCTTCGGACTCCTCACCATTGGCGCAGGGATTGCTGCTGCAGTGCTCAGCCTTCTTCTCGCAGTTGAACCCGGAGAAGCCGGACGGGCAGTGGCACGAGTAGCCGCCTCCCTCTGCGTCGTCGGCGCAGCGGCCTCCGTTGAAGCAGGGTGTGTCGTCGCACGTCATGGAGCTCATGTCGCAATTTTTACCAAAGAACCCAGACGGACACACGCAGCTGTAGTCGTTCTCCAGGTCCTGCAAGCCACACACATCCACGCACATCCACGAATTAACATTAACTTACCAAGACTGTTGGGTAAAACTCTCCCTTCCACAGTTTTGCCACAGATAAAGCCGGCAGGGTAACCTTGGAGGGGGGGGGGGGGGGCATAACACAGGGTGCGTTCTGAGGTCAAAGGACACATTGAGAAAGGCACATTCCTGGAGGTTAAGGGTGAAGATTTTATTTTTTGACTTAAAACTTTCGTGACTGCATGAATTAATATTCTATGGGTCTTCGGTAAAGTCACGTAGATAGAAGAAATAATAAAGAAATAATAATAAAAAGACATAATAATAAAAATAAAGTGTGACTTTACTGAAAGAACCATAGAATATAAAAAGGTTAATATTTTCCTCAACTTCTCTACTTATATTTTTACAGTCCTTTTTTTCAAATCAAAGGCTTCAACAAGCCTTCGAGTGGCGTGTTCTCATTGTTCACCTGGGGCACACATAACATGATAGAGAAGAACTGGAAGACATCAGCGTGAAACGGTAAATGTAAAATTTAAACGGCCCACACCTCGGGTAACAATTGACCGAGGCATATGAAGCTCATAATCACAGGAAGGCGTGAGTTGATGCTGAGCGTGAAAGGCATCTGGGTGGCGTGCAGGCGTCATGAGCGTTGTTCGTGTAAAGCTGATGGCACTTTACATGCAGCAGGCTCGTTAACACGAATTATTAATTGCAAACTGGCAACCACCAACGTCCCCTTGGCATCGAGGCATACACATCCACACACACACACCCCCTTGTCCCCCTGTTTTTGCACAACTTGCTATGCTGATCCAGCATTGCCCGAGTGCTGGCTGCTACGGAGCGCTAAGACAGCACACACCCTTCCTTCCTGGAAAGCCACCGTGCGCATGATTCATCTGGAAGTGCTGCCAAGATTCACAATGAAAAAAGAAACTGAACAAAAAAAAAGAATCAGAGCAAAGTGTTAAAAACGTGCGTCTGAATGGCATTTCAATATCACTGCAGTCCATCAAGACAGCCCCTTAACCGGTCTCGCCCCTATCATGCAGAGGAAGCCGCGTAATCCTGCGCAAGGATGTGGGCAGTGAGAATGTTTCTCTGTGAGCGACCAATAAGGGCAATCTTTTGTAGATACGCACAAGGAAGAAAATAATGTGTAGCGAAGGGCATGCATTAACTGTGCACACTCCCCTCGATGCCTTCAGGTATCCTTTGAAACTGAATAGAAACGAGCAACTCCCAAGTCACAGTACACACGAAAGTTACTCCTCAATTGCTCTTATCAAATCCATACCAAGGCATTGCGGAGACGCCACTACATTCTGTTTGCCCTGTGTTGGTGCATATGTACACGTAAACCCTTGTTTTTGTTACTCCACTACTATTTATCCAAACTTCACAATGCCAGTAAGTCCAGGTTGTTGAAAGTGGGGAGTTGCGGACATGGAATCACAGAAGTACAGTAGAACAGATTTCCATGAACTGTCCTCTGCCCCGCCGCGGTGCACGTGCACCGTGCGTAAAAGTCTAATTCCTGTCGACCGGCCAAAATAGCACTTGAGAAGTGTGGCCTTTTTAATGTCGTTTACTCCTGAGCACCGAACTATCACCAGGAAGGTATTGCGCTGTTTCCCATAGGCGGTACCACAGGAAGGGCAGGGGGGCCCTATTGCCCCCAACGTGGCAGACCGTGGGTGGGGGTGAGGTGGCGGTGAGATGGGGGGGGGGGGGGAGGTGGGGGGAAGTGTGGGGGGGGGACAAGAATTGAGTTCCATCGTTAAATGTGCCCCGTGGGCGATTACGGAGTTAGTGGAAAGGGGGATTCGAGCCAATTGACGGTTATAACAGTAAAAAAAACCCCAGTGTTGTTGTATGTACATCACTTTGCTGTTGAAGTTGACAAGGGCGTCTCCCGTTGGAGAGACACTGGAGCCGAGGGGGTCACACATTCGAGGGGTGAGGGGGGGGGGCCTCACTTGGCACCCAATAGCTACGGGTTTCCGTACACCGTAAGGTCACGATTTAGGTTTTGTTTTACAGTGCAAAGCAACTGTGTTCTTGTACATTCATTCTCATAACACAGTTGTAAATGATTATTTTATTTGTGAAATACACCCAAGTGTTTTTTAATCTTTAAAAAAAACATATACAATGTACTGAAGTAGGGAATAAAAGCTAAGTGATTTGCGTGTCAATCCTTTAGTGTATTACACCCTCGGATACAGCATCCTCTTACCTGGGGTACACATACCACAAAAGTGCATCTATACCCTCCCCCTTATTCCGCCGTGACATGGGGTCAGGGAGCCCTCCCCCCGCCCCATACTTGTGTAATGACAATAGAGGCCTGAATGCGGTGTGAGCGGACTAGTGGCCACGGGAGGTAATGACAGGGGAGTCAGCCGAGAGTGCGAATGCACTAGTGGCCGCGGGAGGTAACGACAGGGGCGTCAGTTGTGAGTGCGAAGGGACCGGTGGCTACGGGAATGATCGAGGAGGGAGCGTGGTCACGTGACGGAAGAGGACGGTGGAGTCTGCCGGTGGAGCGAGCGTCCAGAATCAGCGAGAAGGTTCGGGAAGGGGGGCGTGGCCTCGGTTGGTATAAAAGGGAGATGCGCGGGAGACTCGGGGCTGTTGCAGTGGGGTCTCCGCCTGATGTCAAGTGAACGTGTCTTCAATAAAGTGCCGTCTCGAGAGAAGTGTGTCAAGTCGTCATTACATTTGCAAAACCGTTCTACACCTCCCCATGTTACTGCCCAATAGCAAGCAAGCTGGTGCCACGGTAGTTTGTTCTCGCCTGTACTATACATTGCTTTCCCCAAGATGGACAGAATATGTGCATCCGCGAGAGGGGGGGGGGGTGACTAAAAGACGCTGCGACATTTTTTGTTAAAACGGTGCATTGTGACAAGGTCTCAGGAGGGAGGAGAAAAGAGTGAAGCAGTAATGGAGGCATTGACAACAGGAAAAGCACTGGGAATTGAGAAAGAACAAAGGCGATTGGGAAGAGGCGCTTGAAGGAGGAAGAGCAGAATACACAGTTATAATGTTGGCAAGGGTTGGTAACTAAATCTCACAGCAAAGCATTTGGCCATACAAAAAAATACGTCACCACATTCCCAAGCACCTTAGTTGTCTCATTACATATTTGATGAAAAAAATTACTTTGCTAAATAAGTGTTTCCATGACATAACATTCACCTTACAATACGGAAATGGAGCTTCCTAGTATATGGTGAGGTTAGGACTAATAAGAACACATACAAACTGGGCAATGTGAAATCTATCATTCACGAATGGACGGAGCTTCCGGCACACGGAGCGAAACGTCGGACATCATGCCGAACAACATCCGGCGCAACACGAAAACACCTCGGAGAATGATTGTACGCGTTGAAAGAAGGCCAGACAAAAACTCGCAGAACAGGTGGTAGGCACAACACAGAACGGGTGGTAGACACAACGCAGAAGAAGTTGATAGTTGCCCTCACACGCGCCAGTGTGGTGGACCTGTGTGGTTCGGGCGCGTTACCGTGCAGCTGCCCCCATTGCGGCAGGGGTTGACGTCGCACTCGTTGACCGAGAACTCGCAGTTGGTGCCCGAATAGCCAGGCTGGCACGTGCAGCTGTAGCTGCCCTGGCCGCTGTTGGTGCAGGTGGCGCCGTTCTGGCACGGCCTGTGGTTCGTGCAGTAGTTGAGATCTGCAGAGGCAAAGACAATAAACGTCTCGTCGTTAACTTACCGTTGCCGACAATGGACACAGCACACGAATATTTAAACGCACAAAAAGCACGCGGTTCTTCGCCTTTCCCGAAATACACATTTATGTAAAAAAATTGACATTTTCCAATAGTTACCGTAAGCATTCAAACACTTTTTGTCTATACTCTTTGGTTCTTTCGGTAAAGTCACGTAAGTAGAAATTAAAATAAAACAAAAAATAACATATCACGACGTTTCGATCGCAACACAAGCGGTCGTCCTTAGGCAGAAAAAAACAATAAATCCAGCAGTAGAACTGCTGAACCAGCGAGAGAGCTGTTACAACAAGAGGTTATTTATGTGGCGATGGGCAATTGTCTATTTTTGTTTATTTTTTCGAATGATAATTGTGCCATTGGCACCGTGTCATGGGATAAACGAAGAGCCTTTTATTTAGAACTCCTGCGGAAACCGGTGGAGCGCCACCCTATAAAGGAGAACAGCTTCTGGGAGGTGACATCACAGAGCTCCTCCTGGCCTTCCACGCAAAAACATTCTTGGCGTTGACTTGAAACGATTTGCGGTATTCTCAAGTGGCCTTTCTGAATGCCAGAACAGCTAAAAAGAGGAAGTGGCTACAATTTTGAGCACGTTTGAAGTCTGAGGTTTGAGCACTGGGCTTCAGTCCTCTTTTTAAATTATTTTCCGCTCCAAAAATCACTCCGAGTACTCGCATGGGCGTGGTAACCTACGCGATCTCGATATCCCTTTAAGGGGCAAGGCGTAGGGAAGTTTGGACAAAAAATCAGCGAGAAGACGTTCACAATCAAAATGGCGAGATGCGTTCAACGCTGCAAGGAACTTTCAGGAGCATTATTTTTGATCGGTGCACTTCCATCGAGAAGCAGGAGCAATAACTCAACTTATTTGAATGAAGATTTTTATTTGCTATTTTAAGTTGAGTAACTTCCCATTTCCTTCAACGGAATAAGTTCTCTGTAACAGCACTCTGATGTATTCATTGTTATCCAAGTAGGCTTCCTAATGAGAGCTATATAGGTCAGGTCACCAAGTGCAGGAATGAGTGACTGAGTGTCGGCTGGGCATTGAGAGAGTCGCTAAGCGGCCCCCTGGTTATCACCTGGGTGAGCACCTTATCCTGGCAATTACAGAGACCTCATTACTCATTGGGGGAGGAGGGGAGTCCCTCGATGCATGAAATCGTCAATGACGCTACGCATACTACTGCCAATGAAGCCCGGAGGGTGGGGGCCATGCCCAGGGGTCACCGCAAATGAAAGCAGTAGACCCCAGCTTACAAGCAAAGTCACAGGTGGACCCCAGGGCACTGGGCAGGGCAGCCCATTGATAAATCGGCGATGGGCAGCTACAGGGGGAGCCATGCCCCCAGTCGGGGTTCCCTGGATTGTCGTTGGGACTGTAGAAAAACGAGATGAGATGGTGGCACCATCCAGAAATGGAGAGGAGGGAGCTCAGGCCTAGCTGTCCGATGCAATTTCTGGTTGCATCGCGCGCGGATTTCGAAGATGTCCAACATCAGAAAATGTATTGAGACTGGAAAAATCTGATGAGCTATGAAGCTTTTTTTTCACAGATGTCCATGTACTGGGGGGGGGGGGGTGCTTCTTCAGTTCAGATCCTGAAGGAGCTCTAGGCACGTCTAGCGAAACGTTGGTCATTGTGCCGAACAACACGTAGTGGTACAACCACAAAAACACGCGCTTGAGCTTGGAGCTCAATCGGGGTTGCAGCGTCTCTCCTTCCTCCTCTCCCTCCACTGCCCCTCCCGCACCCCCCCCCCCCAAACTCCAACTCTGCTGACCACTCTCCCGTCTGCTGATCAACAAAAACCTTCACAGGATGTTCGTTTTTTCCTCTCCCACTTTTGAGATAAGCTGCAAATAGTAAGGGACCTTTCAATCATCACATCCTAAATGTATTTACTCAACAAAAATATATATACTTGTATGTAAAAAGGAAGTGTACATTTTTAGCCTTGCTGAGAACAGGAGGCTTATTTAGAAGGATGTATGCGTGTCGTATGCATCCTGTTGATTTACAAACAATTTGAACGAAATATAAATAATTTATTTGAACCAAAGAATGAATTGGAAAGTGGCTGCGATTATCATGAATTCATACTCTCATTGTAAATGAGATTATTTTAGGCGGATAATAATTAATGCCCTTTTATCCAGAAAGGTTTCCATTGATCTCAAGACTCTTTTTACTGGAGTGTCCCCAATTGGGACGCTTTGTGAAATTCCATTCACGTTACTAAAACTAAACTAAAAGCTACCAGGTAAGACCTGCTGAGCTATACAGCTCTTTTTCAGAATTGACCTGGCCACAAATAATAGCTCAACAAAGGATTATCATCACGTGGAAATGTATAGCAACGAAATATATTCTAAACGCATGTTTCTATATGGGGAGGGAAAAACCGGAGGACCCGTAGAAAAATCTACACGACCACGGGGAGAGAGATATGCAAACCCCAAATATACAGCAGGCATTAAGGGTCGGGATCAAACCCACTTCCTCCTGCATATCAGGTATATTGGACAAACGGGACGAAACATCAGCGAAGACTAAAAGAACACCGAAGAAATATTAAATTATCTCAAACACAACTGTCGGCAGTGGCAGAACATGCTTGCCAACAAGGCCACTCAATTCGTTTGATAACGTTGAAGTGTTGTGTAAAATTAATTATTACTAGCCAAGACTAATTAGATAATCCATTGAAATTGAGAGAAATACAAATAACTGTAATCGCTCTGACAGCTACAGGCTTAGTGCGGCATGGAAGGTTATTAATAAATTATACATATTACAATTCCTTATAGAGGAAACACATACTAACTAATTGATTACTAATCTATTATATTATTACAATACCCTCCCCCTCCGCCACCTCTGATTTCTGCACATTATTGGGTATAGTGTCTGGGTTTAGTCATGAAATAATACACATTTAGAACTAATTACTAATCTACGACTGATTACTAATCATAACAATTAACTGATTACTAATCTATGATATAATTATAATAACCCCCCCCCTCCCCCACCTCTGATTTCTGAACATTATTGGGTATAGTGATTGGGTTCAGTTATTAAATAATACACATTACAAATAATCTACAACTGATTACTAATAATAACAATTAACTGATTACTAATCTATTATATAATTACAATACCACCCCCCTCTCCGCCTCTGATCTCTGCATCTGATTGGGTTAAATGGTGACGTCACCCTGCTGCTGCTCTATTTAAGACCGGGAGCAGGTGGAGGGCTTCATTATTCTGGCAAAAATTGCCAGATGATGCTGCATGTAATTACCAGCGAAACGTCGTACTCAAAAATTGTAAATGTTGTGGATTCACTCTTCAACACACCGGTGGGCTAAAGTAGTGAACTATTTGTCTTTTGTCAACGTGACACTTTTTTTATTGATTGGCCGTGTCGGGTGGTGGAGGGTTGCGACACATTTATAAATAACGCGATCTAACACAAAAAACCTTTATTATTAATAATATTGATCGTGAAAGCCTCCCACGTGTTAAACAGCTGAGGTAGTTAACATCTAGCCACCACAACATCCCATATGTGGGAGGGAACCAGAGTTGCCAGAGAGAACCCCCATGCAACACTCAAAGCTCCACGCAGATGGATTTAGGAATACATTTTCGAACCCACACTTCTGTACTTGTCCTATCAGTTACTGGCCACCTCATAGCCCAAACGGGATTGGCAGTTTCCCGAATCTTTGTGAGCCACCTCCCTCTGCCACCAAGGCACTCAAGAGGAGCTTTTGTGACACCCGTGTCGCACTTGCTCAGTATTTTTTGTTGATTTTTTGTGTTAAAGGTGCTGAGCGTGGTTTTTTTGCGTACCGTTTAAAGTTTCGAGCAACGCAGCTTGGAATTATATAATTCGCGCCCTTAAAAATAAAGTCCGCTACGAACACTGAATTAACTAGAGAAAGGAAACTATAATTTATAATTGTCCACATCCTAGAGTCAAAGAAAATAACCACACTAACATTCTCAAGAACAGTAAGTTGTCCCTCAAGGTGTGACGGTGAAAGTGCATCAATTGAGATGTATGCATACAATTAACGCTTATGGTGAAACATCCAAATTCCTTATAGTGAAAAGTTCTGCTTTTAAAAATCTGCAAAGAGAAGTGGAGTAATGAACTCAGTCCACACAAAGGGTGAAATTTAATTTCTTCAGCTGTGAATTCAAACTATGCGTGGCGCCAGTTTTGAGTGGTATTCCCTTGTGTACATGGCCTTTCTCTGGCATTTGTCCACCCAAATGCCAAACACAACACTTGTTGATAGAATTGGCCAATCATCCCCAAAACAAGACCATCCGGAAAACGAGTCTCGAGAATCTGCGAGGATTGTATAGGTAAATGTTGCACCTGAGAACATCAGAAGCTCATGCACAGTTCGTGTGGACTGTGCTGCCTCATCCTCGGTACAACCTCGATCTGGCACCCTCCGATCTTCGTCTGTTTGGCCCTCTGAAGGACGGCTTATACGGGCAACATTTTGGGACATTACATTGCGATTCAGGATCATGTTGGCAAATGGTTCCATAACAATAATGAATCATCACACTGTGATGGAATGCTGGCCCTGGTTCCACGTTGGCACTCGTGTGTGGGAAAGAATGTAGACAGCGTTGAAAAAATGCAGCATAATATTCAGTACATGCCCATGAAGGGATGTATATATATATTTGTTTAATCAGTTCAATCTATTTATTGAGACCTAAAGCTGATCTCATCGCTCCATGCGTTCCAGTCAAGGTATGGAACGCGTCTGAGAGGATGTCCACCATGGAGATGGAGCAATAAGGACAGTTCGTGTGCAGGTGCCATTGTGGATGGTTACTTTGCAGGATCATCAGAGGTGGTGAGCGGTTTGGGGAGGCCTTCATTAGCGATGGGGTTGACCACGGCAAACGACGACAATGAGGAAAATAGGGTGCATTCCTCACACTTACTGACGTCTCAAACACGAGGATGCTACGTGACGAGCAACGTGGAGGCAGCGGAAGTTGCGTCGGTTTGCGGTGCAGACGAAGGCTCGCTCGCTCGCTCACCTTGGTTGCAGAAGAGGCCACCCCAGCCCTCGCGGCACGTGCACTGCCAGGGCTGCTGGCACGTGCCGTGCAGGCAGCCCGGGTAGCGGATGCAGTCGTCGCAGTAGCGGCCCTGCCACCCGACGCGGCATCTGGCGACGAAAGGAAAAACGATTCGCAGAGTTGAGCTCCACCGGTTTGCTAATTCAAATCAAATTGTCTAATCATCATCGTCGTCATCATTACGTTTGGTGTTTGTACCACTCTTACAGCGCCAGGCGATCACAGAGGCGCTGTGTTTCACGGTTTTTATTATCGTCTGCAGTCGTTAGTTTAATACCGAGCAATGATTCTGCTCATTGTATTTATTCAATTAGGCAATTGGCGAGTGATTTTGTTTTTGTTGAAAAGTTCGACCGTGACGCCAGCACACACGGACAACATCACGGGATCTTCAATATCCATTGTGAGACAAACGGTGCGCACTTTTAGTGAACACAGCCACAGATATTTTACCAGGGCGGGCCGCTGGGCCGAACTGCGAATATCTGGAAACGGGCGGCAAAAGGAGCTGCCGCTCATCCGTGTCACCACCCCGAGCGGACAAATGCTCTGATGTATTAATACAGCAGCTTTAACTGAGTTTGGTGTATTTTGATTGCTCTTTATCGAGTTGCGCATCGTACGTCGCACTTGGTATGATAATAGGTGTATGGACTGAATGCATAAATAACTTGGACACTCACTTGCACTCACCAGGCTTGTCACAAATCCCACTGCATCCGGGTAAGCACATGGCTGCAATCACAGGGCACAAACACACACAAGCTCATAATCGAAATACATTTCAGCTGCAGCGGTTAGTCCAACAATCAAGGCTAAGACGCACAAATATTTAAGGGCTAAGGATCTGCATGTTTCGTGGTGGGTTAGGCTAACAACAATTGCATCGATGTACGTAGTGAAAATACACAATTATAGCAGATTGAAAGACCTTCCCCAAAAGGAAGACTTCTCGTGAAAATAACATCGACGAGTATAATAGTTTTTGGCAAAAGCCCCAAAAACTCGGTAAGTTATGTTTTAGTGTGACCACGATTAACTCACAAAAGAGTAAAACGTGTGTCCACTTTCTTGCAATGACAATCGCGTGTGAACTTGCAAACCAAAGACAGCAATTGCACATCACAACATCAATGAACTCCCAACGGTGTGCGCCAAAAGTAAATGCGTTCAATGTCGTCGTTCAGTGCTTGTGTATGTACAGCATGTTGAACTTCTTTCGCACCGTACATAGCCAACCGCGCTAATCGGAGGCTAAAGGACAACAAACTAACACGCGGAAAATCAGTTCTAAACAAATGATTTTCAGTCTATGGGACGAGAGTCGCTGTGTGTGTCAGCGTCACTGCTACCGTCAATGACTGTTCCAGAAAACTTCACTCGTTCATTCCTCCACCAATGTCGACCGCACCGACTATCGGCTCGTCCACAGTGTCCATCATCACACGGTGTCCACACGGCGTCCACACTGCGGCCAACTACCACACTGCATCCACACTGCATCCACACTGTGTCCACACTGTGTCCACACTGTGTCCACTCTGTGTCCACACTACGTCCACACTGCGTCCAACCATCACGCTACAGGTCACGATGCTTCTCGTTGTTCCCTCCCTCGCACTGCTCCACTTTGTACTTCCCCTCCCATGTCGTCTTCTTTAAACTAAGCTCTTGCAACATTTCCCAATTCAAAGAAACGTGTTAACGCGCATCTATTACACGACAATAGTGCTGTTTGTTGCTGCCCGCTTGTTGTTGCGGTCCCTTTGGGCCTGTGACAATTTTTTTTAAATGTCCTCGTGACGATGATGATCACGATGAAGAAGGTGACGAAGAAGCCTGCAGCGAGTGGGGCAGCTGGCAAGGAGGAGGAGGAGATGAGGAGGTGGAGGAAGAGGTGAAACCCCCGCTGGGCAGCTGCGCTATTGTGCCGTCACAATGAGGCGGAGGGAGGGATCCACGCTCCGTTCTCCTCGCTCCATCTCCACGCTCAATCCTCCTCCCTCCTCCTCCTCCCGTGGCGCTGGGCCCCGTAATCTCGCTGAGCGTGGCGCTCAGGCCGCTCGGCTCGCCGCTATCTCTCGCCACCGTCCTCCTCGCTTCGCATTATCGCGCCCGGCGCACGGCCACTTATCTCCTCCTGCGCTGTCCAAACACTCGGGGCGATTTTATGCGGCGCATGTGTTTTACGGGTTGGTGGGGGTATGAGTGAATGGGGTGGGTGGTGGTGGTGGGGGTAGCGGTCACGCGGCGAGTAGTTAGCACGCTGCGGGCATGTGAACCCGCTGACCTGAGATTGATTCGTGGCCACTGGCGGCTAAAATCAGCGGCGAGTGATAACGCGTCGTCAACAATCCCTTGTCGTGGTTGATTCGGATTAAGGAGGCCGTCATCCAGCAGTGGATTGACAGAGGGGTTGTACATTGTTATTGTTATTATTATGCGAGAATAAAGGAAGCCGCTTCGTGACTGGCTACCGCACCAGGATATATATATATATATGTGTCACTCGCTGACCTGCCCCTACTGGACTTTTGTGAGAAAGAGCTTCATAGCTCATCGGATTCTTCCAGGATAAATATTCTGATGAACCTCACGTGGTTTATAACCCCCTCCCTTAAATATATATATGTGCATCTCGCAGTGCACAATAGAGTTCGGGGTCCCCCCCCCCCATAAGATTTCAATTTCGCTCCAAGTGCTGTTAAGATGCAGTTCCTGAAGAGGCTCCCCGGACGTGGAGCGAAACGTCGGACATCGTGCCGAACAACGCGCGGCAAGACCCAAAAACGCATCCTGCATGGGGAGCTCGACACAAACGCTGTGCTCCGCCACCTCCCACGTTATGGCCCTTGCACCAAAGACAAAGACCCCCCGTGTAGCCTTCACAGATTGTTGGGGCAAGTGCTGTTAGCGAGCAGCACCTATGAAGGCCGGAACCGGCACACTCGGGGTTGGGTGGCCAGCAACACGCCCGGCCCGCTTTTGTCTCCCCAGTGACGATGTTTACACACCGCACCAGGTACTCATTTGAGGCTGAGTCGACCTAGGGGTGGCCCAGGACCGGTTCAAATGATCGTCACCGGTCTTGACCGTGAGCGCCACTCCCGCCGGCGTGCAGAGGGCGCGTGGCGTGAGACAGACCACTGGGGTTGACGCTCATCGCAGCGCCCACGGACCTCGTGCCAAGTGCCAATCAAACCCCAACCCTGCCGAGATTCCCCCCCACCTCCCCTGATTGAGATATACAACGTCACTAAGTGAAACATAACCACCCACGTTCTTACGCTTTGCATAGAAAGCTCCGGTTAAAAAAAACTGGTAGTTAATACATAATCATCACGGTGATCGGCTATGATCAATCCACTGCTGAATGGATGAAGGTCCTCCCTCCCTCCCCAAGCGATCGCCACCTCTCACCATCCTGTGATGTGACAATAATCCACCCGGCATCTACAGCACATCAGGGCCTACGAACAAAATTGGGACCATGTGTTTTTGTTTGTGATACATTTTTTTTAACCAATATATATTTGTAATAAATATACGAGTAAAGCAAGGATATGCACAGTGGATATACAAAGGTGAGAGAAATTAACAGCGGAGATGCATTTTCGAGATTTTCTTCATTGCAAAATTAGCAATTCAACCAAGCGAGTGACAGCGGCGGTAGTCGTCACGCGGGGTAGCAGCAGTGCCAACTGTTGGAGAGTTATCACTGAAGGTCTAGATTTGAAGTTATCACTGAAGGTCTACGAAACTGAACTGATATTGTATAGAGTTGTGCCTCGAATCAGGTCTCTTTACAAAACATCCATATTTAATTCATTATCCATGTTGATTTTATATCTACGCTGTGTCCTGCAGGCAGAAACACAAGCAAAATAATGAAACCATTGTCCGTGTACACAACCATTGGCTGTGTATACAATGTACTGTATTTGTTGAGAGTAAACACGGGAGCTGAGATGTGTATGGGTGGGTGCAAGTTATCAGATCTCTGACAGCCTCATCGGAACCTGCCAACTGCCAGGGCACCACGTTTGTGTGCATCAGCCTTGCTCGTGACGAACACTTACACATCGTGATGGTTGTTATCGAAGAAGACACCGAAGAAAGATACAAATCACAAAGCCAACACGAAAAAAGGCAAAGAGTCAGACACAGGAACAAAGTCAGTTGCCGTCAAGTATGCAGAGAGATGCGGAGACACACACGGAGAGAGACGGGAAAGATTGAGACACGGGAGAGACAGTGGGAGATTCAGAACAAGGCGAAAGACAGAGAGCGAGAGAAACGGAGAGAGAGATATAATTATGGGTGAAGATAAAAGGGGAAGCATGGCGAAAGACAAACAGGGAGAGATGGAGAGAGAGAAAGAGAGGGAGTCGGACACGGAGAGTGACAGGAAGAGAGACGGACATGGGAAGAGTCGGAGAGGCAAAGTGTTGGAGATGGAGACAGGGAAAGAGTCGAACAGGGAGGAGTATTGGCGAATAGAGACAGCGAGAGAGTTGGACACAGCGACCGACAGGGCGAGTGGTGGACACCGAGAAAGACAGAGAGAGAGAGAAACAAGAGTCGGACAGGGAGCTGCAGGGATAGAGCCGTGAGCATCACCCCCCCACCCCGCCAGCCCCCCCCCCCCAGGCGATCCCCCACTCACCCCGCCCCCCAGGCCCCCACCCTCACTCAGGCGACCCTCCACCCCCCCCGACCCCCCGGCGCGGCTCTGCATGGTGTTTGTTGAACGCATTAACCCCACTGATCACTGACACCACCCGTCCCTTCACACCTTTGTCCTTTTAAAATCTAATTATGCGTTTTAATGAAAGTAGAGGCATTGCACCGATTTTAATGAATGGGGCTATATGTTTAAATAGAAATAACGACACGGCTAAACTGGGCATTATTGTTATGGAATTATGACACTAACTCGGGTCCCCTGTGGATGCTGTGCATGATAAAGTTTATCAGCCCCTTTGTAAGTTTACTGCTGGAACTCTGATCAGCACCAGTTGGCTACGTACGGTGCGAAAGAAGTTCAACATACATACGGATGAAGGCCTCATCACGCTGTTACGATCGTAGTCCGAATATACTTCACCATGCTAAGTCAGTGCACGTTTGTGATTCTGGGGCCGAAGAGCGATTCGGATGTCACTCGCTATCGATGTGAGCCATGGACTTCTGGCTCGCAGCGCATTGCGCTAATCACTGCACCACCACTCCACCCAGGGTATTGCACAGCATCGGGAGAAGTCTCCCCGATGACAAGGGCTTTGGGCTGTAACCAGCCCCGTCTGGTCCCCTGAGCGTGATGGAAATTCCGCATTGCCATGCTGAGGCCTGTCCATCAATAGAATGCTTACAGTACGTTTGACTTCCCACACAGTACTAACTTTATCGACCCTGAAGGGACGATCGGCTGAGACGACCCCAGACTGGAATTAGGCAATGAAGACCTTCAAATTGTGATTAAAGTCCAGCACCATCCCATCAAGATTGCTTATGCAATACTGTACTCACATTAAAAAAACATAACACGTGTAAAAATACCGGCCAAGTTAGAAAATATATCAGACTCTGGAGCGGTCATGGCCAACTGGCGTCTCCTGAGCCGCACGCGGCAGCTGATATCGAAGGGGCACAACGTAGAACGTACTATTACAGTTGCAGATAATATTGAATGAAAGTTGTGCGATAAGTTGTATGATATGATATTATCCTGTATACACTTGGTTCTTTGCAGAACTCACGGGTATTTTGTGCCTCTCGGTCTGTTACAAGTTGGCCACCCCTGCTCTCGACTCAATGAAATCTACAACCGGGACCAAATTACATAGAACAGCGAACCCTGTAAAATTTTAATGTGAAAAGTGTTTCCGCTATACATGACACGATTGGCACAAACCTGACCCCTCCTTTTCCATCGATGCAGAAGGTATCAGCAGCAACAGCAGCATCAGCGCTTAATTAGAATCGTGGAATATGTTCTGCCCCCGCCTACCCCAATACCCTGGACCCCGCACCTACATGCCTTGACAACAGTTTTCTAGAGCTCAGCCCTGGACGGCTCCGGTTGAAATTGAAGCCCCGAGCAACATCATAAAAACGAGTTGGTCGCAACGTTTCCCCCCCCCTAATTGTCCTTGGGTCTTGTCGCTATCACGTCTTAGAAAGGCTGAACTTTAACCTGGCTGTTTTACACGTGTGTAATTTTTTGTAAATAAAAGTACGTATCTTTGTTAATTAATTCATAAGCCAACTGAGCATTTATATTTAGGCAGCACAGAGTATAAACACACATTAATAATAATAATGCCGCCCTCTAGTGGCGCGTATGTAATCTGTCATTTGCATTCGGGCACCTTCAGAAATATTTCCCCTTATTTGAATGAACATATCATGAGATAGTCCACAGTACGTGTATTGAAGTCAGTGGCATGCCGCAGTGTAGAATCTACGCCGCATGGCGTGCCCAAGTAGTTATTACTCATTTCTTAGCTCCACGTTTTGCCTTCTCAACAAGAACAACACGAAGACGAACAGCACACGATCCACTTTTGACTGCTCAATGCTCATCATCAGCAGCGGCAGAAACCATTTGCAACCCACCGCTGGATGATGGCCTCCCTCCCCAATCTACCGCCATCTCTCACGATCCATCGAAATAAAAATAATCCATACTCTTTGGGTCTTTCGGTAAAGTCAAAATAAAATAAATCACGACGTTTCGGGCACAACACAAGCGTCCGTCGTGATTTATTTTATTTTCTACCTACGTGACTTTACCGAAAGAACCAAAGAGTATAAATTCCTGCAGCCACGAAAGCTTCAAATCCAGATTGAATAATAATTCACCTAAATTCCAGCCACACGAGCTGATTCCATCTCTTTGGAGCTGTCATCATGAATGACGAGATGAGAAATGCACGTGACTGAGGACCGAGATTCAAGTTGCACTACCATGGAGGGTGCGTGGGAGGAGGGGCATGTATGTGACCATACTTCACCACGCTGGTCAATGCGGGGGCCGGGGGGGGGCGCACACCCCTCACGTTTAAGAGATCCACCTACTTGTTCGATGTCTTATCTAACGCCATCTATAATACATATCACGGCTCTTCTCTATGCGAGTCTAGAGACTAGACCAGAAACATGACACGAGAGTGACATTACGACGTTTAGGCATGGCGGGTAATACATCAGATTTGGTCAAAGGTTTGGTTCCTATCAAGTCGCAAATAACAAAATCACATTCCGGTCCGCATCTTCACATAAGAGTTAAGTAATTAATTAGTCTATCGACCCAATCACCATCCAGACGAACCAACGGTCAGGAATCGAACTCAGGGTGGTTGGGTTCACAGCGCAACGCACTCACCACTGCGCCACACATTCAATAACAAGGAGATTAAATCATCTGGGGCTTTCGCTAATACCCACGGCCACCAAATACTGTACACGGCGATTTAACAAGACGCTTGGTTGCAGTGTCTTGCCCCCAAGTCTGTTGCAGTGGATGTCGACAGTCGCCACACGCAGCGCTATCGCCTGCAGAGGGACGCCCGCTATCACCGTGATTGCTTTGCAACTATTGCTGGGGGATAGAGCGGTGGGGCACTGGTTGGCACACTTTGCCGTGGATCTATTACAGTTGATATATTTTAAATCACAGTAATTGAGCAGAGCTCCCATAGGCCACGCACGCCTTAGCGGCCGGCAACAGACAGCGCTACCGAAGGTGTAAATAGGCTAAGAGTTAACACTGAAAGTTTGTTTAATTTCCTGCCACGGCTAACATCAGCGGCGATGAAAATCGGTAGTTGACCTGCTTCCCCACCTGCCCCCGCCACCTTTCGCTCTTCGACAGCAGTCGTGGTAAAGGAAGGCGAATCAAACAAACCCCGTGAGCGACTGACAACTCTGCGCGCAGGGGATGCCTTCATCCAGCAGTGGATTGACAGATTGGGCTGTGTTGTGGATCGTCATGAAGATGTCATCGTGTAGGGCCCCCCCACCCCCCACCTTTCTCCGGTTCGCTTAAACCGCGGGATGGAGATTAGTCACGATTAGTCACGGCCTCCACAACACAAACTCGGCTTCCTTCACCGCCCGCCCTCCCGCACGCCGCGCTGACACGAGACGCACGAAACCCGGACCAGATGTGCGCCACACTCACTCACTCCACTCCCTCCCGGGCGGGCGGGCGATCTGGCGCTTTCCCACGCCGAGGGGGGAGCGGATCATCGGGAGGGGGTGGCAGGGTGAGTGATGTGGTCGTGGGTAGGTCTGGGGGGTGTGGTGTGGGGTGGGGGGGTTCTCGTACCTTCTGCGCAGTAGGGCCCCCTCCAGCCTGGCAGACACACCTTCTGGCCCGTGTCTCCGCACGTGAAGTGCCCGAAGGCGTCGTCCCTGGCGCGGCAAATAGCGGAGCAGCTCTCGCCGTAGTAGTGCTCGGCGCACACCACCCGGTAGGAGTAGCGCAGCGCCGCGTGGCGCGACGCGTGCGTGTCCTGGGACCAGTCATCGCCCGCGCTCAGGTGGCGCTGCGTGGCCAGGCGGCTGATGAGGCGCGCCGGGTCATCTGCAGATTGGGCAGCGGAGTTACAAATTGCCCGAGTGACTAAGCTTGGGGGGGTGGGAGGGGGCAGGCAAAGCTACGAGTTGGGGCCCCCTTGACAAACACCGCGAGAGACGAATGAAATATTGGGGCCCCACCTGACCGATTGACAGCACCCCCTGAGCTGATAATGTCGTCGTCGTCGTCTCTACGCCACTGGACCTGATGGATACTAACGTTTCCAGTTGTCCGTAAAGGTGAAAAGGTGCAGGTCTGCAACTACTTGATCGTGTCACTGCTGGTATAATAGCCTCTGCTGGAGACATTCTGTAGAGGGCACCTCTAGTCTAAAGGGTATTTTTCTCACTATTCCACGCCTTGGAAGAGGTTGGAGTATCGTATTTCGTGTAATTAAAAATACGCGTTTGAAATTATTTTGAGGTGTGAAATTGAGATATCTGTGGAGCCGTGGCGCAGCGGTTGGTGCGGTGCGCTACGAGTGCGACGACGCGAGTTCAATTCCCGGCCACATCAATGACGAGTGGCATCTACACCGATCAAACCCCCCACCACCCACCACTACACCCAACCCCCACCTTACCCCCCCGCAATGACCAGCGTGGTGAGCATCGTCAAACAACCTCGATCACGGTGGGGAGCCCTTAATTGAGCAGAGTCGACTGTCAAATGTCTGTACAATGTAGTTATGAACCACACACACACAGTATAATTAAATTGCATGTAGTTTACATTATACGTAATTTAGATACGGCTGCCCGTCTCTGTGGATGCAGACGGCCCGTGTCACGTTGCCCGTGCCCTTCAGAGTGCGGCGAGCGGTTCGCACGAATCCTCCTCGCACGCACACGCAGCGTGTTCACCACCGCCGTGCTGCACGCATCTTTACCGTCCAGTGCCCTATGCTGACATCTCGGGGCATTATTGACGCTCCCTCAATTCAGCCCCACGCTGGGAATACTGGGGGGGGGGGGGGCGGGACTCTGGCACGCGCGCTCGTGTATATCTGTGTGATTAACTCAGTAACAAGAGCAGGCTTATAGTGTGTCCTCCCCCACCCACCCACCCCCTTGGCAGTTGAATTGGTATCTGCACGGCCCCCTCGAATGTTGCGAAAACCGTGAGGGGCAATGGACTCGGTGCACGGTTACACTGTGGGGCACAAACACCCGCCTCCACCGCGAGTTCGACCTTCCGCATAGATGTTCGCGGTTGTTGCTGTTGTAGACCACCCCGACGTGTTTTCGGGTCGTACCGTGTGTTGGTTCGACGTCGTTTCCGACGTTTCGCTCCCAATGGATGTGTGGGATACAGCGAATGCGTTGGGATGAGTATTACAATGTTTGATATCGTCGTCGTCGTCGTCATCATCTCTGCAAGTTGCTCCTTGTCTCTAAACAAGTCCCGCAAGGCACGAGACAGACGAACAAAAGCCCGCACCCACCCCCCCCTTGTCAATCCACTGCTGGATGAGGGTCTCCCCACACTGGGTGGGTCGTGGAGGTTATTTGAGCGCCGGTGCTCAAGTGCGGCATGGAGGAAGCTCTCGGTGCGTGCAGAGAGAGAGAGGAGTCCGGACATCGGTGCTCGACAGCACGCGGCACAACCCGAAACACATGGGGGGAGCGCGACCTTCATCCACGTCGCTCCGCAGCGGCGGCCGCGGTGACGCAACGCGCGCGACGCGGGCCGCGTGCCCCCCCCCCCCCACCTGTGGAGAGGTCCCCGTCGGCCTCGGCGTGCCAAGCGTCGATGATGAGCGAGAAGGTTCCCTGCAGAACACCACGGGGGGGGGGGGGGGGGGGGGGGGGTGAGGCGGCGGGTGAGGCGCGCGCGATTAGAGGTGAGGGTCTGGGGGAGGAGTGTGCGGTGAGTGCGCGATTTTCGCAAGCCCGTCCTCGCCGCTGCACGTTACCCTGTTGTTGTTGTTTAGGTTTGTTGTGGATTTGTCGTCACACACTTGCACGCGCCCGATGATTGCTAAACGCGTGCTGCGTCACGTGCGTGAGCAGACAGCGCTGAATTCATAATCACGATGGAGATTGTGTTGTGTGAGCGCGTGTGCGCCTGTGCGCGTGTCTGCGCGTGTGTGCAAGTATCGAATTATAGTGAGCGCTGATACGTGTTTAACAACGATCGGGCACGTGTAGCGCGTGACGACTCATCCTTGTATCTGTGGCGGGTCGCGGCGACGACTGCAGGTCGGAAAACTGAATCACGAGCGTAGCGAGATTGATGCGTACCGGCCACGTGAAGCTGAAGGGGAAGCGGATGGGATTTTGGAAGCGGTCCGAATCGCGCACGGCGAATGAGTTGAGACCCAGCACCGGGGTGACGACACTGCCGTAGGTGCAGGGCGGTTCGGGCATGATGCTGGCCTGGTAGTGCTTGAGGCAGACCGAGAAGAAGGTCCTGCACTCCGCGCTCGCCCCACACGAGGCGCCATCCAGGAGGAGTCCCTGATCATTCGTGAACTCCTGCAGCTTCAGCTCAAAGATCCCAGCGCACGCGGCCTGCGGGCGACACGTCGGATCACGACCGAGACGGAGAGACGACGCAGAGGTTGACATCCCAGACGTGATGCGAGGCAGAGCTTGAGACCAGCCCCGGGGCGGGAGGCTGATCCCTCAGTCCCCTGCTGAAGGCTCAAACACGTTTCTATTTTCTTAGTAATGTCAACAAATTTGCTGCCATAATATTTAACACCGGTGCCGGTTTTTGCTTCTTCTAAGTTCACCAGCTGTGATAACGACTGTGTCCCACCACACGCAGTTTTAATGATCGCTCGCACAACCGACTGATCTGCTGCGGTATTCGCTTTAATTTACGAGCTTCGTTTGTTCCAACAACCCGTCTGCAATAGTTGGAGATGGCCTCGATAAAATCCCCCAAAACGAGTGCGACAGGGTTCGCAACCTTTCCTCGTTCACACCGAGGGCGAGAGCAGAACGCATCAGAGGTCAAACCAAATGCCCGTGATGTGTAGCGTGTAACATGTGCTTAAAGTTTAACGTTGACTGTGTCGAGCCCCCGCTCCCCACTGAGTTTATTTATTTGTATCCCCCCCCACCTTTTAAACAAGATCACGCTACAGAGTTGCATTGCAGATGAACACCACAGAGTGGTGGTGGATAGAGCAGAGTGAGCGTGAGGATTTGAGAGCCAGAGAGACGCGCTCTACCTGCTGCAGCAGGAGCACGGGGAAGATGACGAAGGAGACGATCCACAGTCGCAGCGCAGCCTCTGGGAACACATCCATGACGCGAACGCGCTCTGCGCTGCCTCTGTTGGGCAATGCCGCCTCTGTCATCCAGCGGAGCCGCCGGGCGCGTTGAGCGTCGCTCACGAGGCACCCTCCCGGTGACTCGTGATGTGGCCGGCGGCGAGGAAGGAGGCAAGGTGCTCAGCGGGGTGAGACGGGCGGCTCGGTGATTGATGAGCAAGGCTGGCCGCTGCTCGGTATAAGCCAGGCTGCCGTGACGATGATGACGGGAGTAGAAGAGGAGGACGACGCGTGGATGAGAAGGAGGAGGGAGGGACACGCGCGCGCTCGTGGTGCTGTGATGACAGCGCTCAGCTCGCAGCAGCAGCAGCACATGTGCGTGCGTGAGCTCGCTGTGAGCCCTGCCCCGCGACCCCCCCACGATTTAAGAGGCAGTGGCTCCACGTTCAGCCCAATCACTGCGGGGAGGCCGGTCCGCGTGGTCACTCCTCCTCATCCTCCACGCCGCCAGCTGACGCCATACGCCACCACCACCAATAACCACCACCACCACCGCCGCCGCTGCGAGCGCAGTGGCGTCTGAATTAAATAACTGGCGGTAGGTGTCGACAGATGCGCGGGGCTATCATAACAGCGAGAAGGGTGGTGGGAATCTTCATCCCTTGCTCCCCCCCCTCCTTCTTCTCGCCCCCCCCCCCCCCCGTGGTGTTCAATCTGCATTAATTCGCGAGCAAACACAGGCGGACTTAGCGAGCGCAGGGAGGGGAAGGAGGCTGCGCCGTCTGCCGTGCGAGATAGCGCTCCACTCTCCTGCGGGACGCGGCCGAGCGACTCGTTATTGCCTCTTGTTGCAAGTCACCATCATCATCATCCCTCAGCCATCCACTGTTGGATGAAGTGCCTCCTCCGAGCCGCCGCCATCCACGACGAGCCTGCGATGCAATAATCCATCGAGCTGATCTGATCCCTCAATCTGTCCTCGGCGGACTTCCTCTCGGACTCGTTCCATCCCGAGGCAGCCACTCCCGCCACTATTCTTGACAATCGTCCACCAACATCATCATCCTTTCGAGCGACGTGTCCTGCCCAAGCCCACTTACTTTTGTTAACGGTTTGAATGATCGCATTTACCTTCCGCAATGTTGCGTGGATGTGGTTGGTGGGTTATTACATCGCATCATAGTTTGCAGTGGCGGCTGCTAGTGGATGCCTTCATCCAGCAGTGGATTAACCATGGCTGATGACGATGAGTTGCAGGCTCTGGTGGTACCATGCCTTCGCTGTCCGTGGTGCTGCTCACACGTGCACTGATCAGCGGTGGCAAAATCCATTGTTGTACTGTACTCCGTATGCTCCCACGTATTTTCTCCCCTCCTTCCCCAACTGTCACTGACCACCAGCGTGATGAAGTTTAGTCAAATAACCGTCACGACCCACACCGTTTTGGGAGGCTCTCATCCAGCAGTAGCTTGACAAAGTGGCTGTCCATGTGCACTTGCACACTTTTCCAAAGTGTTCCGTCTGATGGCTTGGCGAGGCTTCTTTATCGACGATGATAAAAAAAAGACTGTCGCGATGATAATGAGATTGAACGTGTTAATATTCATCCCACACATTCGGTGTAGGTGGAAATTAAATTGAGAGTCAAACGCGCATTTAATTAAAACTGTGAATAATAATAAAGCTCTTAAATGTGAGTGTGAATTTAATTTATGTTTGGCTTCGCGAACATGATTACATTAAGCGAGTGCATTCTACTTCGTCTTCACCGGTACACTCTTAAATTTCGATTTAAAGCTTTCGTGACTGCAGGGATTCATCTTCTTGGTTCTTTCGGTAAAGTCAAGTAGAAGGGAAGTAATAAAATCATATTTTATTATATTATTTTATTATGTTTTATTTTTATTATTTTATTACTTCCCTTCTACGTGACTTTACCGAAAGAACCAAGAAGACGGTACACTCTTCTTTGTGCAACGTTTTGCATCGTATTGTCCAGTACTTCACTTTTTTCCCAAAAATATTTCGGGCCCCTCAACGTCCAACTCCCCGGACACCCCCCCCCCCCCACCCTCATGCGGCAATTTCGAGAGCTCATCCCCGGATAGCTCCATCTGAAATTAGGCCCCGTTCTTGTTGTTGTTTGTATTTAGGACTCTAAAATTACGTCTGCAGGATGCTGCGGTAGCAACGCTGTACTTGCAATCCAGAAGACGCCGTCTCGATCTCTAGACGCGCCACTTGAAGCAACGAGCAGCTTCCTTAAATCCCCTGGCCACCAAGCACTAGAAACGGGTACAGCATACACCGGTTTTGTCAAAGACGTCTGACAAAGTGGAAGAATAGGCCACAGATGTTCTCTAAATGTCCCTGTGGTGGAGGGGGCTTCTGCCAACAGTGGAGTGAGCAAGTAATGGCAGGCCTACGCCTTACATATTTTCGACAATATAGTGTTTAAAAAGTAAAGTGAATGAAATCCATCCTATTTTTAAGCTTTTCCTCCTGTCACACGAAACGCATTGGTTCCAACGATGCTGTTAAGCCGTCATGGGAGGGACTTAGATCAAGTCATTACACAGCCAATTCAGGACATCTGCTTTCACATTCTCATCACTTTACATTATAAACTCTTCACATCGAGAGTTTAACTTTTTACACCACTCAAAATTCTGTAGATAGTAGTGGTAATCATGGGGGTAATGTAGGTGATGTTTTTTTTCATTCGTTTACTATAATCATGAACAGCAATTACTATTACTTCCACTATTTTTGTTATTTTACCAGGTAAGGCCCATTGAGATATATAGCTCTTTTTCAGAAGCGAGCCGGCCACAAATAATAACTCAGCGAAGTGACTTCTTACGTGGAAATCTATTGCAGCCAAATACTCTAAACGCAATGTTTCTAAAAACCGGAGGACCCGGAGAACATTCCACGCGACCACGGGGAGAAAGACACCGCAAACTACAAACATACAGCAGGCATCAGTGTAGGGATCGAACCCACGACCTCCTGCATAACAGGCGCCAAAAATGCGCTGTTAACATCGATAGCAGTGATGATAATGATGGAGGTGTGATGGTGATATTAATTGTAATAGACCGAAAACACGTTTCCAAATATATTTCCGCAATTTGTATCAGGAGATTCATTCATATTCGTGTTAAATTATGAAAGTCTCCTTTAAAAATGTATATCACCGCAGATAAATCAAACATTGTGAAAGATTATGTATGATAGGAAATTAACGATGTGATGCTATGGATTAACGCTGCAATATTATGGAATGTGTTAAGTAACTTTTGGTAAATGCGTAGAGCAATGTAATGTATTGTGTAAGCCTATCACCATCGCCTTTCCACCATCTTCTTTACAGTCGTCATCCCTGCCAATCCTATTACAGTACAGTACAATAGTAACCATCATCAGTATCACCACCACGAATGCAACATCATCTACACGATAATCACCCTCTCCCCCACCATCAACATTATCAGCATCACTCGGGGGCATCAGACACCAAACACGTGTGCGCTGGAAGGCCAGAGAAACCAATAAAACAATGTTTGTTGAATGTAACTCAATATGTATGGCAGGGTTGGCCAGGCTCCAGCTCTGGGGGCCCCCAGAGCCAAAGCAGCTTTCCAATGTTCTGTGTTGTGCTCCGAATCTGAAGCGGAGATGGAGCTGAGGTCACTGGAGCTCTCCGATGCCTGGAGCCCAGAGCTGAGGTTCAAGACCATTCTTCCTTTATTTCTTGCCTCCACGGTTACATCAACAAAGCCCAACTGACTTCAGTTAAAGTAGTTTTTTTTAAACCCTAATATTTATAGTCAATTTGAAAATGAAAGGGATGCAGAGATACTGTGCCTCGACACTTTTATAATTTCTAGGCCTTGAATGTTGTCATGCCCTGTATGCTGGACTACATTCTATGCGAACTCGTCTCCAACTAGGGCATAATGCAGCTGCTCGAGATTTGACAGGCAAGGCCCGTTGGGAGCATATCTCTCCGTCGAGAGCGCATCTTGGCTATCGGTCCACTTCCGAGCTGTATTTAAAATCCTTCTGTTAACGTACAGACAGGACTTTAAGTGGCTGCAGCGGCACTGCTTGCCTTCTCGAGAACTCGTCTTTCCAAGTGTGTTAGATCTACTGCACAGAGCTACCTCATAGTACCTCACTCCCAACGCATGACTTTGGGCAGGCGTTCCTTTAGCCGTCTGGCTGCAACTTTCAGGAACCATCTCACCATCAACATCAGAAGAGCTGATAGTTTAGGTTAATGTAAACATTGAAATACTTGCGGTCAGCGAGGTATTTGCGTTAACCGCGTTATACCTTTCGCCATCATCCTTATTCGGCACAAGGGCATCCAGCAGCTAAAACTTTACAAAACACATGCGGCACAGTGGTGAACTCGGGTGATGAATCTAGCCTGCACACCGACATATTTTATTAGACCTTTGCTTTGATCCTCTGCCACAAGGACCCAGAGTCCATCTGGATTACCACGAGCACCATTGGGATGTCACGAATATCGTTGGTGAATGATAACTGTTGTTTTCGATGTAAGATAGATGTGGGTACAAGAATACTAGATTATATCGACGGGGAGCTTGCTCACACTTGCAACCAAAGGGTCACACTGCATGTATATACATCGATCGGAAGCCATGTTCTTCAGCACTGGTTGCTCTCTATGGTAATGGTGATGCATCTTCGGCTGAAAGAGCAGGAGATGTGACTGGTCAATTGAGTGCATCAACACACAGCAGTAGTCCATGTGTAGTGACTGTGATTGTCATTGTGTGGTGCCGGGCTTACGAAGCCACGGCGGATAATGTGCTGACATTATGTGTAGCCCGCTTACGGGGCGTAGCACCAGCCCTAGTGGGGCTTGGGTGAGCGCTGGTTAGCGCAGATGCACCACGTACAGTGTGCGATGCGGGCTCCCGGTGAGGGAGTGAGAGGGAGTATCAGCCAGCCAGGGTGACGTTAGGGCATGATACGCTGGTTGACCTGCTGACACGTGACCGGATGATATTGGAGGGGGGGCACCGGTGGACGGGGGCCGCTGGGCGGTCACGTGGTCTAAAAGAGCTCTCGGGAGCCTTCGAGAAGGAGCTCGAGAGATCTAGAAGGTGGGCGGGGCGAGGGGCGGAGCCAGCCCCAGCCCAGGGGGATATAACGGGGGCCGCGTGAGGAGCTCGAGGTTCTTCGTGTGCTGGTGCGAAGAAGATCCACATCGGGGAGAAGAAGCCTCGAGCCACGCGGTCCGGGACCCAGCTTGTGGTCCGGGCCGGGATAGCGAACCGTGTCTAGTTCTGCCGTAGCGTGGTTAGATGGGCATTCGAGAGCCGAGTGTAGATTGTGTGATGTTGAGTTAAAGTTGCGAAATAAATTGTGTTGCTCCCAAGATAACGTCTGTGACTCAGTTGGACTCACCACACATGGACCAATGCTTGCCAACCGTGACCTGCATGTCACCCTTTGATGACGTGTCCGATTATATCACTAGATGACGATTTAAAAGTGCGTAGCTCCAGTGGCTTCCTAATGTCAGTAGAAAGGCATTCCCGACGGCCACAGAAACGGTGCATCGGAAAGCGCGCGATGCTGCGGTGACCGTCTTTGCTCGAAGGTGAACGAAAAGACGCCGCTGCTATGAGGATGATCGGAGTTTGCGTGATGGTTTATGCTGCTTGACGAGATCGGCAAAGTATTGTGGTTAATTTTGTGTGTAATGAATGCGACCTATCTGTGACGGCACTGTTATCGACGGAGATGAGGGATACAACAGTGGGCGGGGGGGGGGTGAGAAATTATGCGATGGATGGAGTGAGGGGCGATGAGGTGGGTGTGAGGAATGATGAGATAAAGGATAAGGTGAAGGATGAGGCGTTGAGATGTGATGTGTAGGATGATAATTTAAGATAGCGATCTAAATGATAATGTGAGGAGTGATGAGGGATTAGGTGCTGAGAAGTGATGGTGAGATGACGATGACGTGAATGATGATGTGAGGGATGAGGTATTATATGATGAGGCACATAATGAGGCGAGGGATAATTTGAGTGGTGATGAGGCAAGGAAATAAAGTTAAAAATGAGGTCAGGCAGTGAAGATGTGGTAAAATAAGGGATGATGAGGTAGGGGATGATGAGGTGATGCGGGTGATGAGGTGAGGGGTAATGATGTGAGAGGCGATGACGTGGAAGCTGATGCGAGGAATGAGGTGAGAAGTGATGATGTGAGGGACGCGACAGATGGTGGTGTTTGTGATGATGGTGGTGGTTGACATGATGATGGTATTGGTTACGATGATGGTGATGGTTGAGATGATGATGGTGGTGGTGGTTGAGATTATGATGGGGTGGTGGTTGAGATGATGATGGTGGTGGTTGAGATGATGATGGTGGTGGTTGAGATGATGGTGGTGGTTGAGATGATGGTGATGGTTGAGATGATGGTGGTGGTTGATATGATGGTGGTGGTGGTTGAGATGATGGTGGTGTTTGAGATGATGGTGGTGGGGGTGGTTGAGATGATGATGGTGGTGGTGGTTGAGATTGTGGTGGTTGTGATGATGATGGGGTGGTGGTTGAGATGATGATGGTGGTGGTTGAGATGATGATGGTGATGGTTGAGATGATGGTGGTGGTTGAGATGATGGTGGTGGTGGTGGTTGAGATGATGGTGGTGGTTGAGATGATGGTGGTGGGGGTTGAGATGGTGATGATGGTGGTGGTTGAGATGATGGTGGTGGGGTGGGGTGTGGGTGGGGGGGTGGTGGGGGTGGTGGTAGGGGGGGTGATGGTTGAGATGATGGTGGTGGTGGTTGAGATGGTGGTGGTGATGGTTGAGATGGTTGTGGTGGTTGAGATGGTGGTTGAGATGATGGTGGTGGTCGTTGAGATGATGGTGGTGGTTGAGATGATGATGGTGGGGGTTGAGATGGTGATGATGGTGGTGGGGGTGGGGGGTGGTGGTGGGGGGGGGGGTGATGGTTGAGATGATGGTGGTTGAGATGGTGATGGTTGAGATGATGGTGGTAGTTGAGATGGTGGTGGGGGGGGTGGGGGTGGTGGTGGGGTGTAGTGGTGGTGGTAGGGGGGTGGTGGTGGTGGGGGGGAGGTAGTGGTGGTGGGGTGGGGGTGGTGGTGGTGGGGGGGGGGGCGGTGGTGGTGGGGGGGTAGGTGGTGGGGGTGGGGGGTGGTGGGGGTGGTGGTGGTGGGGGGGGTGGTGGGGGTGGGGGGGTGGTGGGGGTGGTGGTGGTGGGGGGGGGGCGGTGGTGGTGGGGGGGGGTGGTGGTGGGGGGTGGTGGGGGGGGTGGTGGTGGTGGTGGGGTGGTGGTGGTGGTGGGGGGGTGGTGGGGGTGGTGGTGGTGGTGGTGGGGGTGGTGGTGGGGGTGGGGGTGGTGGGGGTGGGGGGGGTGGTGGGGTGGTGGGGGTGGTGGGGTGGTGGGGGTGGTGGGGACTGCGCTCTGACGCGTCCATGACGACAGAGGAAGCGCGGCGGCTTCAGGAGCAGCAGCAGCGGGCGGCTGTCTGACTGGGTCTGTCTCTCCCTCGGCTGTCTGACTGGGTCTGTCTCTCCCTCGGCTGTCTGACTGGATCTGTCTCTCCCTCGGCTGTCTCTCTGGTGGTGTTCTTCTTCTAAATGATCTGTCTCCCCGGGTCTGTCTCCCTCTTATTCTTCTAACTCGTCTCTCTCCCCGTCTCTGTCCGCTGTGCTTGTCTCCCTTGTGCCGTCTTCCTGGTCCGTCTCGCTCGGTCCGTCTCCCCTCCAGCTGTCTCCGTGGTCTGCGCTCCCCCACCCTAGCCCACCAGCCGGGCCATAGTAACGTGGAATTGCCACAAAAGCCTCTTGAGCTGCCCACAGAGATGAGCGGCGAGTCCCCTCGCCTCTGAAGCGGCACGAGATCTAAACTGGGCTTTCGCAGCCTCCTTAAGAGTCTGTGCACAATCCTTGTTCACTTTAAAACTGCGTGTAAAAACAAAAAAGAAGTGAGATCTTATATTTTTTGAGCGGTTCCTGTGGGTTTTATGTGCCACGGGTTGAAGCTGTTGCATCTTCATTCTGTTTTCTGATCTCATCCAAGGAATCGGAACACTTTGCCGTGGGGAGTAAATGGCTTCCGGAGTGTCTACAGCAATAAACACCAGGGCATGTTGCGATTCTAGTCTCTAAGTCTAGCCCATTGGGATAATCGATTACACTGGTCAACACACTTTTTCTGGCATAAGGTATTCCAACGGTTTTAAGGTAATTTTGGGGCGCTGATTCCAAATCAGTTTTTGTCTATCACACCAGGTTTTTGAGATATCAAATATTGCATTTTCAATAAAAACTGCAGAAGAAAAATATTAAATAAATGTGGATATCTACATAAAATTATATTATAAACACTATCCTAAAAATACAGCACCATATTTTAACACGAAAGCAGTCACTGACTCGCAACAACTTGCAATCATAAGTGACAGAGTTTATTTCGGGTAAAATCAATGAAAATGGGGTATGCCGATAGCATAAAAATGAGATGTTATAGAGAAAACCTGAGATCAGATTTGGAATCGGCACCCTGAAATTAGTCTAAAACAGCTGCAAAAGTCCAGGCCAGAAAAAAATGTTTTTTTTGTTGACCAGTGATATCTTCGATGTCGTTTGGAGATGACAGCCAGAGGTGGCGCTCTGGGCATTGCAAACCAAGCCAATGCCAAGGGGCCCCATGTAGCTGAAGGGGACATCACGGGTCACGAAATATCCCCAATACATGGGCGCATTCTTTTTTTGTATATCTGCCTCATCTATGTCTCTTGTCTACAGCCTTCTTATTTCACCAACATCTGCAGATTTTCAGTTCCCGAGATGTTGATGAGTTGTTGATACATAATTCGAAGCGATATTCTTTGGGGCTGCAGTGATTGCAGACATAACAGTGCACCGATTCTCACGATTTAAACGAGTAGTATCTTTCGTGTAAGAATTCAAATAAATATATGACTCAATGCATTTTTAACATACCTTATAGTGGGGCTTGAAGTATTATTGTAGATTCCGAGCCACCATTACTGGAGCCATATGTGGGTATAATTGCTGCAGTGTAACTACAATATGATCAGCCTTCATGAACATATTTGTCAACAGTGTTATAGAATGTGAGTCTTTTGAAGCTGGGATAGGAAGCCGATGGTTTGCTGAATACTTGATTAAAATTGTAATTTCTCCCATATGAAGGTAAAAAAATTGGGTGAAATATCCGATGTGGATATGTAACACGTTTTTTTGCCTCAGAAAAATGTTGATCGGTTTTTGGCACGACATTTTCCCTCAATGTCAATGTGTGTTTGGCCAGATAATAACTGAATTTTAGACGTTTGCGATTATTACATTTTTGGTAGCAAAATGAAACAAAGAAAGATTACACTTGTTATATTCAGTTGTTGCACCCCAATGCCGTTACCTTCTCAGCGCTGCCACCATCCACCTCTCTTCTACACGTGAACTAATGTCATCGTTCCACATCTGCGTTGGCCGTGCTGGCCTTTGGCTGTCATTCCATCACCAGTCTCGTCCATGGGCCATCATCCCGTCTCGTGATGAGTCCTATCCAAGCCAATTTACTTGCGTAAACAACCTGTACTGACCAGGTTGGTGAAGAATGGCCAAACAACCCCCTATGAAACTCATTCCTGTTGAGGGAGCTGGTAGGAACGTTGGGTTGCTCGGTCAATGGCCAGGGTCAACGGCGGCGTGGTGTATTCCGCAAATATGCCCGACTGTGAGGGCGGGCACAAGCCAGCGTGAGTAGGTTAAACGTTGAGTTTTATAAGGGCACCACGGGGTGACCAGGCCCTCCCCACCCAGCCCCACCCCTCCCACCCCCACCCAGCCCCACCCTCCCTCCCTTCCCACCCAGCCCCTCCCTCCCCACCCAGCCCCTCCCTGCACGACGGACACAATAATCTCCTGTGGGCTGGTGTAACCAGGAGGTTCCTACCAGTATGATGCACCTAAACCAGTTGTATAGTGGGCAGTATTTGAACATCTCAGCTAAACATTGCCTACCTTAAACTCCATGTAAAAAAGTGAGATCTTAAATATTTAGAGCAGTGCTTGTGGATTTTATATGCCACAGGTTGAGCTAATGTATCTTAATTTTGTTTTATGATCTTATCCTAGGAATTGGAACACTGTGCGATGGGAGTAAAGGGCTTGCAGAGCTTTGTGGAGGGCTGCGTCCCTGGTGCGTGCGAGCCAGTTCGCCTTGCCGACCTCGCCGAGAGCTTCAAGATAAAGCATCCGGGAGAAACGCCTTGTCTGGTTGTGGATGCTCCCTGCTGCATACGGTTCTGGTACACTCCCCAGCGCTGGGTGCAGGGTGGCCAGTGGAAGGAGTACCTGGAGAGCCTGAATAACTTCTTACGCCGTCTGGCGGACATCGGACTGCACCTCGTATTCTTCTTCGATGGGTCAACGCAACAACCCAAGCGGCAGGAGTGGGCTCGCCGCAGACACCAGAATAGCCGCGAAATATCATGCATATTCAGGCACATCCAGGAGACAGGGCAGCAGCCCCTCGACAACATGTCTGTCATCCCGTCCAGTCTTTGCAGCTTTACAAGGTCTGCCCTTCAGGCCCTGGGAGCTGAGGTTATCCGCACGACACGGGAGGCTGATTACGAAGTGGCCGAGTTTGCACGAAGTAAAAACTGCATAGGGATCTTAGGCCAAGACACAGACTATCTGGTCTACGATACGGTACCATACCTGTCCATCAACAGTCTAGACCTGGAGACTCTCACTACCGTAATGTACGTGCGAGGGCGGTTATGTGAGCACCTCCGCATTCGCATCTCTGACATGCCGGTACTAGCCTGCCTCATGGGTAATGATGTTGTAGATCAAAAAAGAGGAGCCGGCTTTAGAAGACGCTGTGCAGCTCCGGGTGAGCCTCCTGTGGCGGCCGTGGCGCGATACCTCCGCAAGGTTCCAGCGTCCCCGGCCTCTCTCGAGCAACTCGAGCGTGAGCTGTTTGGTGGCGAGGCTTGTGGGCAACTGCAAGCCGTTGTGGCAGACTACACCTTGGCAGGACTTAGTTCTCCTTGGCTACCTGCCAATATCCAGGTAAGGTGAAAGTGTGACGTGTGTATGGATCTGCTCGTGCCTTGATGTGTCCTCATTGTGTGTTCTATGACCGCTTTTACTTCGCATCGAGACTACATTGAGAGATGTGACGTAAAAGCTACGTTATTGCTGTACTGTTGTGAATAGTAAGGATGGGATAAAATGTTGACTGGGAATAGAAAGAGTCACATCTCTGAAAAATGTACAATATAGTTAATTACGAATTTAAAGCGTTTGCTGTATGCTGAAAGTAGTTACAATTTCTCATTCAATGATTGAATTATGTATACTGTACAGGCAAGTCTGGGACATGGCACTGCCTCATCTATGGATGGAGGCTGTAAGGCGTCACTCTGCACCGATGTGGAGTTTCTGCAGGTCTGAATACTCTTCCCTGCTTTTGCCACCGTGCTTTTCATTCCTTTTCATGTCTTTGATTACCTAAATGCATTTTTTTCTATTCTTACAGCAGCCCGTGTCTCTTGATAAAAGACAAATTCATTCTCATTCTATTCATCTAAGAGGGATGATGGGCTGAATCGACGCCTAAACAAGACTTGAATTAACACACTTGTGTACTTTTATCACGTGGCAACGCAGCTAGATTAAAAAAAACAGTCAAACTACATGTTGGAGTTTATCCCCATAGGCTGTTATGCATGAACACTTTAGAGTGTTGAGATTAATTCATGCACAAGAGTGAGATGGATTGTAACATCATCAGACGGTGAGATGCAGCACCAGCATGGACATACCTTCATCCAGCAGTGAATAGAAAATGACTGATCATGGCATGGCTAGTTTCTGCGGTGACCTTGGCACTGTTTCATGGCTGGGCTGATGTTGGTTGTCTGTGCACCTGAATTGATGGATGATGAATGGCCAGCAATTTCCACTCTCTCTTTTCATCTTGCACAAACATGCATTGTTGCAATTCTTTGGTATTTGCTCAGAATCTGTTGTTTCTTGGCTCACAGATGGCATTGAGGCAGCCATCCTCAAGCTGTTAGTTATTTCCATGACATGTTTGTGGCCACCATTTGCCAGGTCAGGTCATGCCTTCTAACAAAAAAAACCCCTTGCATTTCGGAAAGGAGGTTTGTTGCATATGTTGGTGTATTGCACGTAATTGTACGACCTTTGGGTCTCAAATGGTAAGCAGAACGATGACAAACATGTTTAAATCAATCTGTAGGAGTAATATGAAGTATTTGTGCATAATCATTGACTGCAAATGAAAGCAGCAGTAAGCAATTTGAGACACAATGTACTGCCACTTACTCCCAAGTAAGGGGACTCTCACAACAAGGGGATGCTTGTGTCAACAGTTGGCCCAACAGCAGGGTCACCAACTTTACAAGTTGCTGGTCTTGGGAGAGTTGGATGTGAGCAACAGCCTGGAGGACCCAGCTGGGACAGGCCTTCCCCCCGCCGGACTCCTCTACCGGCCTGTACGCCAGCACATCTATGGCCTGCTACTGGGGATCAAACCTGTGGGTAAGTCAGGAAAGTCGTTTTTGTTATTATTGTACATACATGAATGTAGGGAAGACTTCGAAATGGCTGTACTAAGAGAAATCATGGGATAAACCAGGTAAGATAGGAGGACTGTTGGCATTCAAAAGGAACTAGCAATAATAAGGGACATGATAGGCATCATTCAAAGGGGACAATTCTGTTTGCGAAGGGTTTTGTGGTTGGGTTGTATTGTAAAAACATCTGTTTGGGATAGTGTTGCCCCCTCGAGTGCGTGGGTGCCCTGGTTTCTTCCGACACGTGGCGATCCATCGAACAAAGACGGTCACTGCATCGCACGCTTTCAGATGAGCTGCGGCCGTCTGGAACGCTCTTCCAATGTTAGGAAGCCACTGTTGCTATGCACTTTTAAATCTATATGCAAAACTCATTTCTTAAGAACTGCTTTTTGTGTTTAGTTTATTGTCCTACCTCTGCACCCCCGATTCGCACGGTTGGCTACATAGTGCGAACTAAGTTCAACATGCATACATGTAAACAGTCATTCATTGGTTGAAAACATTGAAGTATATAGAGGACTGCGTTGCTTGGTAAATTGATGGGACCAGATCAATCTGTGGTTTATCAGCGTTGCGAGATGCAATTTGCATGTGCCATGCCGCTATATCAAACGTAACATTATTTTTGGCTCTCCAGTGTTTTCAGATTCTACTGCGTGTTGCTCGGCATGATGTCTGACATTTCGCTGCATGTCCTGGGAGCGATTCAGTTCTTCAAGAAGCTCCCAGCATGTGGAATTAAACGGCAGACATTATGACAAATGACACATGGTACAATCCGAAAAACCATGCCGGGGAGCTAGTGTACATTCGAGTGGACAAAGAGAGATTTCCCTATGTTCTTCTGTACAGCAACATCAGTGAAACAAGGACTAGAGGATGTCCAAGCGAAATAAAGGGTTTGGTAATATGAAAGAAGATCGTCTGTAACTGGGGATCACACTCCCAAAAATGGATAGGCTGGCCTGAGGCAGACACAGTTCCAATCTGGCCATGGATAGCTTTCCAGCATCAATGTGATGTCTTTAATCTGGTGCATAATCATAAGTGTTGTGATGCGAGTTGAGATGTGTGTCACTCCTGGGTTACTCCATCATTAGACCTCCTTTGCCAGTACCAAAATATCACAATAGGGTTTTTTATATTTTGGTACTGGCCCTCATTACTTTAATAGTGCATTGCCTTTGAGCTGTACGCCTTTTGGCGTCCTCTGGTCTAGCACCAATTGGGTCGAGGCTCAAAAGAAAGCTGTCTCTGGTGTGGACCAATCAGTTTCAAGGACAATGCATATATTATCATAGTGTATTTTTTGTTTGCATTTTGACTGCAAGTGTTGCAGTTAATGGTGACATGAATCCTTATAAAAAGACTTCAGTTTTGTTGCCAGAAAAAAGGGGAAAAACCCTATTATTATTATATGCTGGGTTACTCTTAACTGATTTAGTATAAACCACATGCCTTGGTAAAAACTGTACACATTTTTTTGGTCTTCTGATCATTCTAGGAGATTTAAAAAAAGTCCATTAAAGGTCGTAATAAAATCTCCCCATGTATTTACAATACTGCTTAAAGTAATTTGTTACAATATTGTCACTTGGCATGGTTTTGTTTGTTTTTGTGTGACCTTTTTTGCAGATGGAGAAGTTCGGCAAGTGAAGGAATGGATAGTGTATCCAGGGAATGACCTCAGGGAACCGGAGCTCATCGCCCCTCTGCCTCTGGATATGCCAGGTGTGGATATGTTTTTCGTAATTATCTTTTTAAACTAGTAATAATGTCACGTTGGGTCCATCTCTGTCAGTGCCCTCCCCATGTCGCTCACTCTCTATCTCTCAGCGTCTCTCACTGTCTGTGTCTCTCTGTCTTTTTCTGTCTGCCTCCGTGTCTTTCTATGTGCATCTGCCCCATTTCTACACAGGGCCACGCGTAGCGTTGAGAAGGCTGTGCGCCTAGAGGCGTTGTAAAAACTTAATCAGGGCTGATACTGCACCAGGGGCCAGACCTCTCCCCCTCATCTCTGGTACATGTCGTAGTGGTGAGTGATCGCTCAATGATTATATCGCACTGTGCTGTAATCATGGTGTCTCATTCTCAGTTTCTGGCCACACAAAACACCAGCAGCATTTGATGTCTGAATTTGACGTGGACCACCCCTATTTCTATTCAACCTCTTATGACTACCTGGTGCCATGATTTTAAATCACCACTCGGGAGACAGTAATAGCTGAAATTGTATGGTGGCAGTGGCCTGTGCACCCACATGCGTGCCATGCTGGACTTAAAAAGCTCTTTACTTGTTGTGTTTTTCCCATCGGTGTATAGCAGGTAAATCAGAAATATTGATTTTCTTTTCATTATTTTTGTGTGTGTATGAATAGCTTGATTCCGTATGTTTGCTGTTTTATTATATTGCAGCTGTTTCAGCAATTTCAGCCAGGGATATTAACTAAAATTAAATTGGTTTTACTTTGGCGACAAATATAGCTTCATCGCTCTGTTTGAGCACATGTGATGTGAATGGCTCTGACATTGTATACATAGTTAAGCAAATATGCCACATTACTTTAAATTAGAAGTTTAACATAATTCATGGGATAATAGATTTAAAAGTATGTTAAGTCTTTATCAGTGACAATAAATAAAAATAAGTGTATATTAAATCTTGACTTAAAGCTTTCGTGACTGCAGGGATTCATATTATTTGGGTCTTTCGGTAAAGCCACGTAGATAGAAAAATGATGACGATTGCTTGTGTTGCGATCGAAACGTCATGATATTTGTATTATTTTTCTATCTACGTGGCTTTACCGAAAGACCCAAAGAATAAGTGTATATTACTTCTTGATTAATCATTATAATTTGGCTCATGACATGTAGTATATGAAATACATAATTTTGACTTGAAACATGCAGTGTTCACTCGCTCTCAAAGAAAAGGAATGATTTCGATTTAAAGCTTTCGTGACTGCAGGGATTCATCTTCTTGGTTCTTTCGGTAAAGTCACGTAGAAGGGAAGTAATAAAATAATAAAAATAAAACATAATAAAACGTGACTTTACCGAAAGAACCAAGAAGAAAAAAGGAATGATGTTACAGGATTTTTTATTTTACAGCAGAGAGCGAGTTTTAGATGTGTCTTATTTGCAGACTCAGCAGAGTGAGATATACAAGGGGTGATGAAAAATCTGTGGTCTGGTAGAGCAAGAAACGAGTGACCTTGATGACATGGTGTTATTTCCCTACATGTTAGTTCAGTTATGTTCTTCCAGGGCTTCTATGCCGCCCTGACAAACTCTTGTCCTCGCACCTCAAACCATCCAATCATGGCAAACATCACTTTCTTGTCACTTGAAAATAGTTTTTTTATAGCAAGTGATTCTTTAACTGCAGAAACCTGTGGAAAGGACTGGGAGCCAAGTCTGGAGACTTCCAGTTTGGTCTAACCAATTATAATTTGGCCTTGCGAATTGGCAGCTATACCAACTTGGGATTTGTGAACTAGGGCATTGGTCCTGATAAAATAACATGCCAAGTCCCAACTTTCCTCACTTCTTCTGATCGCATTACACAATTTTGCTATGAGGTCTGCGCAATACGACCCGGGTTTGTACCTCCAACGCCGTTCCATGTGGGGCTTATAAACGAGCATTCTCAGACGATAATTACGTAAACCTTCGAGCAAGGTGACCCATGGGAACACAACGTGAGGCTTGCACGGCGTTGTACAGGGGGAGCGCTGGAGGCACGCTCGCTGTGGCAGCCCGCGCAGCAGGATGCGGCGCGTGTGGCGGAGTGGCGGCTGCAGACCTTCCTGGCATGCTTCGGCCTATCGGGACATCAATCGGCCATGGTTGCCCTGGAGTCAGGGCACACTGCTCTCTGCTGCTTGCTGGGGTACATGGTAACGCAGGTTCGTTTACCCACACTTGTGTTCCTTCACCCCCCTCCCCCCAGTTACACTGCAGCTGCTCTATAGGTGTCATTGAGATCTGTGGTAATATCTCCGCAACCACGCGATCGTAAACACGTCGGCAAGTAATTGACACAACGCTCTAGCCTATGCATACATACAGGACAAACGCCCTGAATGCGGTGGGATAACCGCATCTGTGTTAGTTAATGTCTGAGGCCTGCTTCACGGTGTGAAGGAGGGCGGACAGACAGTAGTTAGCGCACCATGCTGGATGAAACGTGCAACCTGAATTTTAATTCAGGCCACTGCTAACATAGGTGGTGAGTGATATCCGAACTGGTCCTGGCACCTCCCATAACCAACTTGCATTGACCAGTGTGAGCAAGTGTGGTCAAACAGCACCCATGACCAACACAGCATAGGGAAACCTTCGTTTGTTTGACAAGGGCCTGTCATTATTTTTGTGTTATGACAAACATTATTCACTCGTCATTCACGAACTTGCTATCCACGATTTTGGCTATCCGTGAATCGCATCTGGGACTCCCGACACGATTGCATAGAGAGAGAAAGTGATGAGATAAAGTCGTCATGTAAAGGATCATTATAATTTAAGCTAAGTTCATTTATAACCTATTATTTAATATGTTAATATTTATTTAAATTTACCTTATGTTTATAATAAAGAAATATTCATTTTTGTGTTGTGATAATTTTCACGTATTTAATCGCGATACACAAAATTTGCTGTTCACGAGCATCTCCGGAACATATCCCTCGCGAATAACGAGCGAATACTGTGCTGTCTTTACTTTCGAGTGGTGGAAGATGTTACGGTGGGAATCTTTCTTTCCAGATCGATACGTTCTACCTGGAGGATGTAAAAGCATTGCTCGCCCAAGCCCTGTGCCTCAAAGAAATGGATGCCCAGAGCCTTGCTCGTTTACCGGTATGCGGTCATTTCACCACATTTGTAAAAATGCACATGCTGTTATCCTGCATTTTCTGGTGTAATAGATTGTCAGGCACAATTAAAACTCACGCCAGCTGTCACTTGTATTCACGAGCGTTTGTGCAATGGTTCGAACAAATAAATAAATAAGTAAATGTTAAGAAAGCTACGCCTCTACGTCAGGTGCATTCAGTTTTTATTTACATCCCCGAGTACCGGGTTTGTACAGCACTTATTTCCTAACACTCCACCCCGTGTCAAACTCTCGCCATCGCCCCTCACTCCCCTTCCTCTCCGTTGCTCTCCGCTAAATCCCTCGCGCAGTCCCCACCCTCGGCTGCGCGCACCGTTGCCGGCCCTCTCGCCTGTCACTGCGCTTACTCTTCTCACTCGCATGCGACATGGTAAAAGCGGCAAAAGTGCACATGTCATCTTTATGCACCGTTTTGGCATATGGTGGGTAACTACAATAATAATTATGAAGGGTCTGTTTCATCCCCGAACTAAAACACAACATGTTCATCCTTCGCTATAGTAACGTTTTAAGTTTTAAGTCCATCAACCAGTGGGTTTGGTGTTGTAGGTTGTTGTCTTGTCACAAGGCAACACAGCAGCATTTGTTCGATGGGCCGCACACTGCTAAGATACACAGACGTGTAAACCAGGCCACAGTTTGCCACGCTGTGACAAAGGCCCATGAAGTTAAATATTACAGACTTAAATGTTTGAATTTCCACTTCAGAACATTTTTATAAAGTAACTTTATTATCCAATGAAACCGGACAACGTCCTCGTTTGTCTTGCTGCTTTCCCTACCCAGAAATCCAAAATGACCAAAACAACGTCATGAACACGATTCTCATCGTGCCTCCTTCAGTCCTCTCAACACGGTAAATAGGTGCACGGTCAACTGTAACTAAAGATGCCATTCAACCTGTAACCAGCAGTGTCTGCCAGCAGTTTATTGCAATGTTCTGCAATATTTAAAGAGGAAATTGGACCTGTGTATTGAAACGCCTTTGCTGATTGTGTGCAATGTTGTCTGTGCTTTTGCTTGTGCGCTTTCCACGGGAGATGAACCTCACTAAAATAGGATCTCTGTGCACTTGCGTATGTACACATACGTATGTTTGCGGTTATTCGCGTCTTGTAAGCGTTGTTTTGGCCTCTGTGTGTTCCAGCACCTGTGGCGCTTTCGTTTGCGTTTATGTGTGTGCAGTGGAGCGGTTAGTGCGCTGCGCTACGAACCTGAGTTCAATTCCCGCTCATGGCCAACACCAGTGATGATTATCTGAACCGGTTCTGGACCTCCCCTAGGTAGACTCAGCCTCAAATGAGTACCTGGTGCGGTGCGTAAACATCGCCAATAGTGTAGTGCTGGCCACTCACCCCTTCGTGTGCCGTTCCGACCTTCATTGGTGCTCGCTAACAGCACTTGCCCAACAGTCTATTAAGGCTATACGGGGGGTGTTTGTCTTTGTCTCTGCAGTATTCATAGTCTGCGTGTCTTTGTGCCGTTTTGTTGTGTCTGCGTTTTCAGTCGTGGTAGTTTCACGGTACGGGCAGTGCTCGGGTTAAGAACCTAATTCATTCCTGAGACCAGTTCGTAAGTCGGAACACAATAATGCACTGTATTTAAATGTCCATAGGTCAGTGTTATGAAATGTGTTACTGTTAAAAAAAAGGAAAGTATAGTTAAATTATTAATTAAAACGGAATTTGTACATTTGCGTGTAACACTAACAAACCTACTGTATATAAATAAAAACCTTTAAACGTACGTCTCAAAAACCTCGAGGGTACTTGCCGACAAGGTAGAAAGCTTAAAGTTGGTACATATGTAGCTTTTAGGACACAAACAACAGGAAAAATCTGAATATCCCAGATTTTTTATTTGAAGGCCCCCAAATCTCCATATTAAGTGCCCCATAAACATGTTTGTACATGGTGTGATTCAGAAACCATTCCAAATATAAGATTGCGGTTTGTTTCCTTTGATAGAGCGTTAAACAGCAAAACAAATTAAGCGAGAACCATTGCTCTGTCTTGTATTGTTTTTGAGATATTTCGTATATTCAAGCGGTTTTGAAAGAAAAAAAGGTAAAGGATAGGTCCAATCAAGTCGTCAACAATTTTTTTTTTGGGGTAGTTAGCGTCTGATCGTAAAAAGTGTAAAAAATCCTATCAGGTTCATTATTATATTTATTGAAAAATTTTGCCTGGACAAGACTTTATGAACTAGTAGTAAGTAACACGAAAAATAAAGTAACATAAATAGAAAAAAAGTTAAGTTTTATTTTCACTTACCTTGAGTGCTGAAGCTAGCTTCAGGACTGGGGAACGCTATGTGGCCAGGAGTCGGAGCCATTCCCTGTTCACCTTGGGGTGCAACAGGTATGTCCTCTGGCTCCCACATTATTTAACATCATCTTTGACCACGTAGTTCGAGACACTTTCCATGGCTGTACCGGAGGTATTTCCATCTGGTATAGATACAATGGGAGGCTGATCGATGCCTGGGTGCGGTCGAGGGATGGCTCCCTATTGGTCAACCATGTTATGTATACCGATGATCTGGTGATTGCTCCTCACTCAGAGGATGAGTTGGAGGCGCTGCTGCTGAACCTGGAGTGTGCCACTAAGAGGTGGGGCCTTAACCATCAGCCCCACCAAAACTAGGCACCTGCCTGGGTATTTTGTTCACCAAACACTCGACACACTCACACTTTCACACACAGTGACACACACACGTGCGTGCACGCACGTACACACACGAAAACACTCACTCCCAGAGTGAGGCCGACTTGCTCCACCTTGCGGAGGATCGCTCCTCTGAACAAAATACTTCTGCGGTTCAGTTTTCAATTGTGAGTTCGCGTTTTAAGTAAATTATTTTATATTTCATGGAAGCTGGTTCGTAAGCACGGACGTTCGTAAGTAAGTTTGGCGTTTTTAAGTCGAGGACTGCCCATACAGTATTGCTCTGTTTCTATCTGGGCTTTTACAAAGACGAATGGGCCGGCATGGTGAGTCTCCTGCCTTCTCGTGGGCAGGTGCGGTCTGTGAGCGTGCTAGTTCAATATTTGCACGCTGGCAATCAAAATACAAAAACGTGAAATATAGCCGCGTGAGCAGGTGCCATTCGCACATTTGCTTGTTGTAGTCGGCCGATCACGGGCATGTGTCAACAAGGCACGAGGCAGGACGCCTGTGCGGCAGATGTCCTGCCGACCTGCGCTGGCGTGCATGTGCTGTTGTGAAGCAACTTCTGCACGTACGTACGTATGGTGCGCTTCTTTCGCACCATACGTAACCAACCGTGTTCAGTTCAGTTTCATTTATTTGGTATAGCCCTGTGAGCCATTCGACTCTTGAATCTGGTGCAACCGCAACAAACAAAGAACAAAAACATGAACAAGAAATAATTAGAGGTGTCAATTAGAGGTGTGGGGAAGCACAACAAAACAAACACATTTTTCGATTTAAAGCTTTCGTGACTGCAGGGATTCATCTTCTTGGTTCTTTCGGTTTAAAGCTTTCGTGACTGCAGGGATTCATCTTCTTGGTTCTTTCGGTAAAGTCACGTAGAAGGAAAATAATAAAATAATACAAATTAAACATAATAAAATACAATTCTCACGACGTTTCGGCCACAATGCAAGCGGTCGTCCTCAGGTGAAGAACAGGTCATGTTCTTCACCTGACCTGTTCTTCACCTGTTCTTCACCTGAGGACGGCTGCTTACATTGTGGCCAAAACGTCGTGAGAATTGTATTTTATTATGTTTAATTTATATTATTTTATTATTTTCCTTCTACGTGACTTTACCGAAGGAACCAAGAAGATGAAACTTAACACAATTCGTCACCGTCGTCGGCCTTGAGTATGGTTGCCACCTTTCCTGCTTTGCCAGGATCGTCAATCTTCTTGAGGCAGCTGATGTCTTGGGAAATCTGTAAAATCTTCCCACAATAATTAGAGGTCCCGTTTTTTGTCTGCTGTGTAATTGTAGGCCACTCATTCAAGACGATGCATTTACTCATAGTTTCTTTTTCCGTATTGGGAAATATTCTTCCCATGACATGTCCCAGTTTTTTAAACCTCAAGAGGTGGCAACCCTCGCTATGATCTATCGACTGCTGGATAAAGGCCTCCCCCCTACCGCTCCACGCCGTCGCAATACAAAAGGTGTACATGGTTGAGTTTATAACATTTTTAATTCAACTAATGGAAGAGCTGTGCGGTGTGGCACAGTGGTGGAGTTGTATGAGAGGGCAGGGAGCTTTGTTGCCATCCAGCAGCAGATAAATCATGGCTGGTAATGAAGAGCGCTTACTTTCCTACTCCTCCTGTACTAATTCCAACTTCTTATCCTGTACAGCGACAGCGTTGGCTTTGGCATATCCAATTATAAAAAGATCAAGTTACGCTTTTTTATGTTTGTATTCGCCTTTCCAATCATCACGGTGGGTCCGCAGTGAGACACGGCCGTCTTTGTTACACAGCACAGGCTGCCTGACCATCGGCGCCGTGCCTTTGTCGTGAAAACCAGCTTCCTCACACCGGGGTTCACGTCCTGCAGGTGATGCAGCCCTTAGCTATGATGACAAAGATCCCCCCCCCCCCCCCGTATGCCCTTAAGTGCTCTTAGCGAGTAGCACCTATGAGGGCCGACACGCTCATGAGGGGGTGGGTTGGCCTGCACCACGCCCGGCCGCCTTTGTCTCCCCAGTGGCGATGTCTTTACACACCACACCAGGTACTCATTTGAGGCTGAGTCGACCTAGGGGAGGAGGCACAGGACTCGTAGTATAGTGGTTAGTGCACCGGTGCTACGAACCCGGCGACCGGAGTTCGATTCCCGCCCACGGCCAACACCACCAGTGACGATTCTCTGAACCGGTCCTGCAGCCCTATATTCAGCATTATTTACAACGCATCGGCTGTTGGGTTGTGTAAGAAATACTTTTATTTTTCATGTGAAGCCGATGTACTGC